TGCACTTTGTCGATCTTGCGGGAAGCGAGCGACTTAAAAATACTGGTGCACAAGGAGAACGAGCCAAGGAGGGCATCTCCATCAATGCTGGTTTGGCATCTCTAGGCAAAGTCATTAGCCAATTGTCCTCCCGTCAATCTGGCTCTCATGTATCGTACCGCGACTCTAAACTAACCCGCCTGCTGCAAGACTCGCTAGGTGGCAACGCCATCACCTATATGATTGCGTGTGTCACTCCTGCTGAATTCCACCTAAGCGAGACTTTAAACACGGTTCAATATGCGCAGCGTGCTAGAGCGATCCAGTCCAAACCACGAATCCAGCAAGTTGACGATGGAGACAGCAAGGGCTTGATTGAACGACTACGAGCAGAAGTGTCCTTCCTGCGAGATCAAATTCGAAGCTCACAAGGCAGCGACCATAATCCACGACGAGGCAATGCTGCACCGAATGAGCGGTCTGACAGATCAAGCGAGCGGGAATCGGAACTCCAAAATCAACTGCTAGATGCCCAAGAAAATTACAGCGCGCTGAGCCAGCGACATGCCAAACTGATTGCCGAACTTGCGAGGGCACGAGAACACGAATCGGAGCAAGCTGGCCAGAATGACTCAACCTCAGCCGACGATCGACTCAACCGATCCAACTCATTCGCACAGGCGGTCGAGCAGGTTGTCCTCGAGTACGAGAAGACCATTCAGAGTTTGGAGCAATCTTTATCGAGTACCCGATCCACATTGTCTAACACCGAGACATCGCTTCTCGAGAAGGAAACAAAATGCGCATATGTGGACACCATTAATAGCCAGCTACAAGCTCGTCTTCAGAAACTCATGGACAGGGAGGCCAGCACCGAAAACTACCTCCATGACCTCGAAGCCAAGCTGGATGGCCATACGAGCGGCGAGGAAAAGAATGCTACGATTATACTGGAGCTTCGCAAGGAAATTGCGCGAGTCAGAGAAAACGAGGCTGCCTGCGAAGATTACATTTCCACGCTTGAGGAGCGTTTGGCCGAAGCAGACCAGGATATTGAACTAATGCAGCGTGAGATTGATCGTTTGGAGTCGGTGGTCGAGCGCCAGCGCAGCCTAGGAAAGTTGGATGCTCTTCTTTATGAGCTCGATCACGTTGATTCGGGCAAGGCTGACGAACCAGAGCCAACAATGATGAATGGAGCAACTCGTGGTCGCCGATTTACCGACCATTCTCGAAGCCAGTCGCACGTCAGCCGCAAGAGTCAACTTGATGGGCCGATTCCCGAAGAGAATGATGAGCATTCCCAGGACCTGAATACTGAGAACCGTGTCCACGATGCTGCAGCGGATGAAGAGACTGCCCAAGATCCCGATCAAGAGAATGACGTGCAGCATGGCGTTGAGGTGGAGGCCAAAGAGCTGACAAGCGGAAACACAGCTCGAAGCGCCAAGCAGAGCAAATATGTCGCTGACAAGCTGGAGAATGTCACACAAGAACTCCTCGATCTCCGTGTTGAGCACGAAACCACTATCCAAGACTATGATCAACTCCAGGCTAAATACGAAGAAGCTCTTCGATCGTTGTCTGAATTGCAAGACGCGGTTGATGAGGCACGCCACCCTGAGCGATCAATAGTCCGCGATTCTACAGTCTTTGAATCGCCCTTGCCGAAAGTTCGTCCTGATTCATTTACTTCTGACGGCAAATCGGTCGACTTGAAAGATGAACCTCGGTCATCCATGTCGAGATCCTTGTCGTCTGAGTTGTCTTCCGCGATGGAGTCACCGGCTACCATGAATAGTTCAGCTGTTGACTTGAGTTCAGAAGCTGACACCGCCACCACCAAACCCGCAGTTTCGAGCGAGGATTTGGGCCATCGAGAAGAAAATGAACAGCTAACCGCAGAAATCGAGAGATTACGCAAGCTGGCGGAAGAAAAAGATGTCGCTGAGAAGACTCTGGCTGAGAAATATGCCGAACTCGAATCTGCTCACAACGATACGCTGGATATGGTGGAGGAACTGAAGACCGAGGTGTCAAAGGCGCGCGCTGTCGAGGCAACGTCACCAAGAACTAGCACCCCCGTCATTCGTCGCAAATCCAGCCAGAACCTCTTGGTAATTGACCGTGCACATCGCTCCTTCGCTTCCCTCCGCAACATTGCTTCCGAGAACTTTGAGAATCAACCCGAAGTTATGCAGAGCTTTGAGCTCAATTTGAATTCTGCCATGCATGAACTCCACTCCCGAAGTGAACGCATCCAAGAGCTGGAGGCGGACATCACGTCGGTCAAGAAGGAGATGGAGACTAAGATGACCATCATCTCGGGATTGACACGCGAAAGATCCAGCTTGAAGGCCAGCCCGATGGATATGTCCATGGTTGCAAACTTGCGTGATCAGCTTGAAAGAAACGAAAAACAGATGTCTCAGATGCGGGAGGCGCATGAGTCGCGCGAGAAGGAGTTGACGACGCAGCTTGATGAATTACGAGAGTCTTGGCGGAATGCCGCGGCCCACCCCACGATTGGCGAGGGTGTCAACTCAACCATTGTCGACGACTCTGCCAAGGAAAGAGAGCAACGAATCGTGGAACTCCAAGAAGAATTGTCTGGATGGGAGGAGACACACAGACTAGTTATTGACGCCGCGGAAAAGACGGAGGCTGACCTACGCGCCAATATCGCGAAACTGGAAGCACAAATTGCTTCGTCGAATAATGAGCTCAACAATTCCATCGCTCAGGACAAATCTGCGAATCAGGAATTGGTCAAAGACTCGGAACAAAAGCAGAAGAAACTAGTAGACTTCTTGCGTACCGAGATTGATGAGTACAAGGCCATTATCAATATCAATTCTACCAAGATTGTTGAGTTGGCAAATGAACATGCCGATGCCAAGTCTGAGCTGGAGAAACTCAACAATTCCCACGAGTCGGCCATCAAGGAGCTTGAACAGCACCGAGAGCTCGTTGCATCCCTCGAGACCCAGGTTGCCAGTCACTCTGAGACAGCCAAATCCCACCAAGAAGCCCTAGATCTTCTCAAAGATGGACACGCAAAGGAGATGTTGGAGCTCAAGTCACATGAGCAGAAGAGCTACGAGGAACAGGCCGAAGTTCTTATGCAAGAGCATACTGAATCCATGCATAAGCTCGAAGATGAATTATCACGGGCTAGAGATGAGCTTTCCGAGATTGCCACCCAGGTCGCGACTGGTATGGGTGTTGACGTCAACATTGAGCTGCTCTCGGAAAGAATCGATAAGCTTCTGGTTTCTCAAAAGACGCTAGCCGAGGAACAACAAAAGGCCGAGGAAATGAAGAATCAAGTTGCTGAACTCACTTCTATCAATGAGAATGTCCTTGGTGATATCAAGGCTGCGAAATCTTCCTTGACAGAGATGCTTTCGGACAGTGCTGATACTGTCCCGACGTCTGTAGTTGAGCAGCTTGGTGCTGTGAAGACGAAGCTTGTGGATCTGGAAGGCCGCAATAAGAAGAACAGCCGCCTGGTGGAAGAGCTTGAGGAACAACTTCAGAACAACTTTGACGAAGCACAAATGACCAATAATCGTCTTAGCACTTTGCAGACGGAGCGCAATGTGCAGCTCGAAGAGGCTACCGCGGCTCGAGCCAAACTTCAAGGCGATTTGGATAGCATCCGGGAAGAGTACGCAGTACTGCAAGCCAAATATCAAGAACTCTCCAGCACGGGCGATATCAAGCGATCCAATTCCAACTCGACGATCCGCAAGAGCGCCTCACACACTTCGCTGCCATCTCCACCGCCGGCCATTCCTCTACCACCACTGCCCAATGTTGCTGCCAGAAGCGGCTCCCCAACCAACGGCGTGCCCAATTCTCCGACATCTGGACGCCCTGTTAGCAAGGACAATGTCAACATTTCACAACTCACCGAAGACCAAGAAGCCCGAATCAGAACCATTGAGAAGCACCTTTACGCTGAGCGACAATTGACACAGACACTCGAGGAGGCACTCACAGACCTTGAGAAGCAGTCGAAGAAGGTCAAGGGCGACTGCGATGCGTGGAAGAAGCGTTCGCAAGAGCTTGAAGCCGAACTCAAGGAATTGAAAGAACGACAGATGGAGCCCCAGGCAGATAATCGCTGGAGTATGCAGGCTGTCGAAGAGGAGCGAAAGAAGCGACAGGCCGCCGAGCTGGCTAGAAAGCAGCTTGAAGAAAGGATGAATGCCATTAACAAGAGCAAGAAGAAGAAGGGTAGTCTGAACTGCTTCTAGGCGGGGCTGAGCTTTCTTTGGAAAACCGGTACGCGAGAGGATCGAGACGAGGCTTCTCAAAGTAGCCTGACGACTTGAAGAGGCGCAATGGCTGGGGCCAGTCTCTTCATCACCGAGGATAAAGCCTTTGCTGTGTGCCTTTTTTTTTCTCATTGCTTTCCTCTTTTTTTTTTTTTTTTTGTGTTTTGCTTCGGTACGACCTGCAGGATCGTTTTAAGACGGCCCGTCATGATCATGTTTCACACTGTTGCGCATTCGAGAGGCTTTTGATGGGCGCAACACAAGGCGAAGTGTTTCTTCTGTTGTGTATTTCTTGGTTCCGGCGGCAACGAATGAAGTTTTATATCCCCCCCCTTTGTTTCTGTCATGGTTACACTTTCTTGTACGTTTGGTCTATCGTATTCATTATGTCTTGCCACTCTGCACTTGATACCACGATTAGAGGTATATCCTATGCCGTAGGAGAATGATGTTGTGCATGGTGGGAAGACATGGACTGTTGATGTTTTTGCTTGTGGTTTTGTTTCAATTCATGGAAGCGATGACCGTGGAGGATGGACGGCCTGAATGAGTTGGTGCCTGGCGTGAGCATGTGCGGCCTTTCCGGCAAAGTCATGACGTACTACAGTATATATATCGAGTGAGAATGATAAAGATTGAATATATTTTTTGCCCAGCAGTGGGCTTGTATGTTATTCTGTACCGAGCGAGCATGGATTCAGGACACCCTTCAAACCACGCTGTTGAACACAGACACACCTACTCGCCCTCTTCTTCCTCGCCAGTGCTGCTCTCCCAGGCCTCGTCACCAACAGCCTCAGACGGCAAGACGCGCGGAAACCAGCCGTACTCGCCAAAGTCAACCATGAATTCCCCCATGGCGCCGCGCGTGACGTGCACGCCCTCGTCCCTCAGCGCCGCGGCCTGGTTCTGCGCACCGTCCGGCTGGGACCTGCAGCCCGCCGCCATGTTCATCAGCATGCATCGACTTGCCGGGAACCGACATTCCCCCCTTACCCGGCGGAAGCTCCCACAGGCTGCACTGCAGGGCGGGAAAGCAAACGTACCGCGGCGATATGACGCCCTTGGAATTGATGACCCGCTGCCACGGGACGTTGGCGTTGTTGAAGCGGTGCGACGCATCGCTCGACAGGTGCTTCATGCACATGCCCACCTGTCTGGGCCGTTGTGCTGCCACCCCCCCTCGATCCCTCGTATCAGTCCTGATTCCCGGAGAATTTGCCAAGGTGCAGGGAGAGGGGGGGGGAGGTGACGTACGCGTTCCTACGAGCGTGGCAATGTGCGCGTACGAAGTCACTTTGCCGCGGGGAATCTCTTGCACCGCGCTGTAGACGGCGTGGAAGAAGGCGGCGGCTTCGTCGGAGCGCGCCATGTTGTCGATGTAGCTGGTGCGGCGGGAGGAGGGGGGCACAGAGGACGAGAGATGGGGTTGGTCTTAGTGCGTGGCGGCCATGGTTGACGCGTGGGAGAGATGGACTTGTTGCGGTGCGCCGTGGTGGTGAGGTTGGAAACGGGGAATGTATTGGTGTTGAGGTGAATGCAAAAGTCACGGTCGGATTACGGCGGATTATGACGCCTGCACCACCATTGGTTGGCTGCCGATGGGCTAATAAGCCAATCTTTCGTGCGCCAACACTGTATTTTGTTTGCGCATGTGGCGTACAAACTTACAATCCTGCTCGGCTGCAGGACTGTTGCCGCCTCTTTGCTTCGTAAACTTGCCATCTGAGAGCGAGTTGCGCAGCGGGCTCACTCTTTTTGCTGGATGCGCCCACGCCCTACAGGAATACTTGCATAGTAAATTGTAATATTTTCAGACATACTTTATAATGAGTAAACGTATTTCATTACAAAATATAAATAAGAGACGTTCAAATACAGCATATGATAGGGATCAAGGCACCTAGCAGAAAGAGCAAGCCCGCCGAGCAATGCACATGTACTACAGTTTCCAACGTGGCCCTTGGTACGGCTCAACACTTGCTTGCAATGGGTTTGTCTACCCATGCAGTTCATGGGACAAGTGCACATTGCAAAACCATCTAAACAAGCCCATCCGACATCATCACATTTGACACAGGCCAGTGCATTGTCATTGAATTGAATTGTCCTACTTGAAGGCGTCGCTATAGTCAATTCACGACTTGTCCCGTCGTGCCCATCCATGCCCACTGCTCTAAGTTACACAAGGCCCAATTCGGGTAGATAGATGTCTCACATAGACATAGCATCAAGAATAACATATATCGTTCCCAAGACCCGCATGAGGTTCAACACCACTGAAATGAATTCTGTCTTCCCAAACGCCGGCCCTACAGATGTTGTATACTGAATAAACGAAGATTGAGTGCGCCGAGCCGAATCGTGACTCTATTTGCCCGTGTCTATCCATCTTCCATGAATGAAGAAAAGAAACCAAAAAAAAAGAAAAGAAAAAAATATTCACATGACCGCGGAAGTAATATTTTGGCCCGCCTAAATAGTGAATGTGGCCACAAAATGAACGTGCCCGTTACCAGAGTCACTTTGTAGCGTGACCCCGTCGCTTCCTGTCATCCGTCGCCCCAAAAAAACGGTGTCCAGACATCAAGATGAAGGGTATAGCGACCGGGTTGATGGGCGGATACGCAGTGAGTACGCATCGAGTAGAAAATTTGAGAGATGAAGAAACGAAAAAAGTAGCCTCGTCCAAGGCCGCTGTTATGATGGGATCCAAACAAGCTCAATAATGCCATCTATGTTGCTCATGGGCTGTCTGTCTGGGTGTACCCATCTTTCATCGTTTTTCTTTCGCGTGTAGGTTTGCAGTACAGAACCGTCGGATTGCACCTCGGACTCTTCCAGCTCCCACGAGATCTTTTTGCCCGTCCTTTCGAGATTCTGGCGGCTTGGTCCCATCATGAAGTCAAGGTTCCAGCCCTTGTCCTCCGGGGCTGCGTGTAGCGTTGCTTCCATCTGGTTTGTGTCGAAAGTCACCCCTTCTGGGTAATGGGCAATGGAGTATCCGGAAATGATGAAGTCGTCTTTGGTTTGGAATCGCATGAGCGTGCAGTCTTCACCGCATGTATGAGCAATTTTGGTGTACATGCCCGGCTTGGCCTTGTGCCATCCACTACTACGATAGTGATGGAGGGAGAGTGGTTTGATGCCCCATTCGTAGAAACCCGCAGGATGGCCAAGGATGTCCAACTGCCAGAGTTCCCAAAAGGTCGTCAGTCGAGTATCAGTATTTTCGTAGATGCACTTGCGGAGAATGATATCACCCTGAGGACCCCAGCCAGAGTTGGACTCGAGAACCTTTTGCTCCGTAGTGCAACTACCAAAGAGTTCAGCAATCTTTTCTGCTAGGGGTAGCGACAAGAAAACACCGCCACCCCCAAAGGCTTGTGAGCCGTGACGCTCAATGGCTCCGACATCCTCGGACAGAGTGCCAATGTACATCTCGCGGGTGTGGTCAAACTTGCTCATCTTCTCCATCAGCTCGTGCATACTGGGAAAGAATGTGTCGTCGTCGCAAATAACGAGCCACTTCTTCCTCTGGGCCTCGGGATGGCTGTAGAGCGTAGGCACCAGGTAAAGATATCGAACAGCCATTTCCAGAGATGAATCAGAGTGATAGACATCGACATCAATGCCAACGTCGCCGAGCAAGTTGGCAACTTCTTGAAGCTCATCGTCGCTGGCATCGAGAAGCATGAGTACCAGTTTGCCCCCGTTGGAGTGGCCGCGGCTATCGGTAAGCCAGTAGATCCATTCGTTGATCGGTGTGGTTTCCGGGTCCATGAATCGCTTAAAGGTCGTCGAGACACCGAACATGAAATCGCTTGCATTCACGGACGAAGGTAAGCCGGAAGCGGGAACCTGCACCTCGAGAGGCTTTTCGCACGCATCTTGTCCGTAGTGCTTGTTGACATCGATGGTCTTGAAGGCTCCGTTCAGCAAGTTTTGGGAGATCTTGGTCATGCGCTTTCGTTCCAGACCCTCAACGCGGGTGAAGCGAATATAGCGCTTCATGTATTGGAATCTTTCATTGAGACTGTACTTTTCCCTGATATTTCGCAGATGTGGCATATCGGCACTGCAGTTGAGGTTGAAGTTGTTTGAAATGCCGGTTATATAATCACCAGGTACGCTGGGGGGCAGGCTGGGGTCCTCGAGTGGTTTCTGTTCGTGGACGGTGTTGGCTTTGACGCCCGTCTTTCCCCAGAGTTCAGAACGGACTGATATCGATTCCTTTCGGAGCATGGTCATGAGCACAAGAAGCACGCACAATGCGGCAAGAAGGGCGCGATAGAACGAGCTTCGCATTGTCACGGAGCGTTTGGGCCCTGTCAGCATTATTCCCATGATGTGTCGAGCAGTTCGTCCTCGTAGACCACCGAAACGCATCAACCAGCGAGCTGATGGGGACTATTGGACTGCCGATGTACCCATCCACGAATGATTGCGACTTCTAAATGAGCACGTACTGTCGCTTCTTCGTATCCGGAAAAGGACGAGTTGCCGGCATACGAGTGCAGAGAAGCAGACTGGTGCAATGGCAATACCGATTGTAATTCGAAGAGTCGAGTGAGGAAAAAGAAGAAGAAGAAAAGAAAACGAAGGCGCGTATTGAATAGAGAGGTTCTCCCAGGGCACGCTATTTTGAACTTGGGCGTGCTAGACTATGGCGCAGTCAAAAAATGAATCTCTTTTCTTGGTAGATAACGACAGGTGTGAGTGGTCGGCGCAATGGCACTGGAAACGAGAGAGGGAGGGAAGCGGGATTTGGTGTCCCGAATCAATGTCTAGATTCGACGTCCCGCGTGGAAAGATGAAGACGGCATCAACAACATAAGCAGAAAACAATGGAAAGATGCAGGGGTGGAAGGACAAAGGAAGAAAGGAAGAAAGGAAGAAAGGGGAAGAAACGGACAGAGGGAGCAGAAAGCAGGGTAGAGTTTGGCGGTGCAAAGTCTGTGGTCTGTGTGAGGGAAACAAGCTCCAGATGTCTGGCCGCAGAGGGAAGGAGCGACGTCCATCTCCAGTTCACACCGCGGCGCAAGAGCCGGTACAGTCCATCTTCCCAAAAATCATGGCGTCGGTACCAACACAGTCAAATCTAGAGCCAAATGTCCCCCAAACCGCACCGACCAACTCTCCTGGGCACTGTTGACGCTTCAAGCCACTCATTGGCGCCGCTGAAGCTTACAGCCAAAGCCCGTGGGCAGGCGGCCAAAGACCAGGTACCAGTCAGGGCTCAGGCCGCGCACCCAACAGAGACGGCGTGACGGCTGACGAATTCCCCCCAGTCCATAGCTACGAGGCCAACTCTGGGTACGCAACAAACAACACATACTCACCACCGCCGTCTACCACACTTTCAGTCGAGGATGCCCAGAGATGAGCGGGGACTGTGGTCCAGCAGCAACCGGGGACGTCACAGGGGCAGCCATGGAGGTCTGGTCTTGAGCGATGCAAAAGCGGAGTGGTGGGTGGTCCCCCAGCGTCTCAAGATGAACAAGATTAGGTAGGTGATGTGTAACAGGACTCCTAATCAAACTGTGGCCCGTGCTACCTTGTTTCGAGTCCAAGGGACAGGCTTCCTGGTCCCAATTTTTATACCACAATGACCCACGCAACGGCAATGCCTCGAGGCCACACAGTTTCACCCGGCGCCGCTCATTGATTACTGCCGGCTCGCAAATGCGGCGGGCCAAGGGGGGCGGATCAACATCAAGCACACTGTGAAGATGGCTGCGATCTTCATCCCACAAGGGCAGCGAGCAGCATAACACGAGGCTGATCCCTCGACCTTGGCCTGCCGAAATACGAACCACAAGTCTGAACAAGCGCAAAAGGTCGCATGTTTAACGCGTACGCCAAATACTGGCCAGCTGGCTGTTTTCGCCTTTGGATGCCACTTGGCCACGAGCCCGACAACTCGATTTCGTCCACGACGTTGAAGCCGCTCTCCAAGTCGAATAATGCAGCTTTGTCTACTTTGGCCAATAGCGAGGGGGAAGAGGGTTTCCAGTTCGGTTCATCAGTGATCACATCCGGATATTTTAATATACATATTGATTGGCCCAGATCTTTGAGGGTGACAGAACTGTCAGGAGCACTACTCCGTACATGGCCACGCACACAAACACCACAGACAGCAGCAAAAGCCAAGCCATGGGTTCGGCCCTGTGTGGCGCTGAGATCCCTGAAGCGCCTGCATCTGGGCGGCTGCGGCAGGTGACATTGGCATCGGCGAGCAAAGCCAGCCCGTGATACAATTTCAAGGCCAGAGAAGCGCGCAGAAGCGGTTTGCTGACCTTGAGCGAGTTCATACCCAGGCATGAGCTGACGAAACGTTCAGCAAGGCGGACATGCTACCATTCCGGATTCCGTACTCTCCCTTCTCCATGTACACGTATCTCGGCACTGTGTAATGGTGAAAAAAAAACGGGTCCCGATCGACAATTGAACGCGCAACGTCAGCTGTGGTTGTGTGGCGATGCGAAACATGGAGAGCCTCGGCGGTAGAGGGTTGGTCACACCACATCCCAAAGCCTGTAACAAGGCCACTCCTGGCTGCTGGAACAAGCCGGCATTACTCGGTAGCATCCTTGTAGCTAGGGGTGCCGAGTTCACTGCAATATATAACACGTGGCCTACGAAGGATCATTAAGGGATTGCACCTGCAATGCCCCGTACCGATTAGCGAGCGTGCTGCTGTCATCAAACCTGTTCACCACGGGCATGATGTGAACTAGGGTATTACGAAGACGGCCTCTCCAGCCTCGCAATTGGACAAAGCAGCAAGCAAAGCTATCAAGCGTCATTGAGTGAATTTCGGCCCATGATGAGAATATATCCACTCATAATTTTGGCTGGTTGCAGCAAGGACTGGTTGAGCGAGCGGGTACCATTAATCTCCCCGAGATAAGCATTGGCTCCCTATTGGCCTGGCATTAGAAAGGTTACAATTCGTTTCAAGCATGGGCATTTATTATCAGGGAATTTCATGCAAGCTAAGGAGGAGAGTCAGGAGACAAAGTTCAGAATAAAAAGGTCCGCGGCGCGCTTTGAACGGGATCTGAGTCCCACCAGACTGTCGCGCCAAACGCGGTTCATGTCTTGTTCCTTTTCTTTGCCAATTGCAATACACTCCGTACCAGACCTGACAGTGCACGTTATTACGAGCCCGCTGGCCCCACCAAATAAAATGGAGACGGCCAAGACGGTCCCAACATTGAACCCTGGTTCGCCAGATGAGCCGGACAAAAAGCCAAGTCTTTGCCAAGGGTAAAAGGCAATCTAGCCCACGTGTAATTCTAGTCTGTTGAGAGCACTCGACGTAATGAGCTTGGGCAATCCAGGATCTTGGCTCCTGTAAGTACGCTCTGAGGTGGAAGTAATAGATGGCCTGGATTTATCATAAGATGATTGTGGTTTCGCATCTTCACAATATAATTGTGTTGATGTGCACGTTGAGCAGTTCGGTAAGATCGGTAATTTGGCGCGAAACTGTATTGGTTTCGCTCCAAACATCACATGCTGGTGCAGTGAGTTGGCCCTGAACATCAGTCATTTGGCTCTGGACATCAGTGACTTGTCTCTGGACACTAGTCTTAGGATTCCAGCACCACACTCCTCCGCTACCGCTGGAACATGCCGAGGACTGAGCTCAGACCGGATCTTGGCCATGATTTGAGTTTTTACGTCTTGGCTGAAGCTCAGTCTAACCGTGGGATATCGCACCCAAGGCACGCTGTTGGCAGAAGTATTCTGCTAGAAGAAACTTCCGATCGCCAAGAGTACCTCGTCGAGGTACGATAAACCGACCGAACCCACCTTATACCTGATTTCCGCGTCCCATTCATAGCATGTCTCCGTACAGAGCGATTTCCGTAGTGAAAGCTTTAGATAGCTGGACTGTGAATTGCTCGGCGGGCTTACTTTTTTTACTAGGTGCGCTTACGCTTTACTTGATACCTTTTTATAAGGTATTATATGATAATATATTTTAAAATATACAAATATACTGGTATACATATTTAAGTAAACAGCACATGAAGCAGTAGGGCGCCCGCCGAGCAATTCTCGCTGAACTCAGCTACATACCTGGGTAGGTTGGTAAATGCCAAGTACGAATAGCACTAATACGAGCAAGATGCAAGAATCAGCCTAATCTCTGGGCTCAACGTCCAGTCAATCGGGGGACCCGGCTAATTGATGAAATTGCACAGCGACTCGCAATCATACGTGGCTGCGAATCGTACCAGACATAATTGCCGCCAGCCATTACATGCAACCGGCGGCTATCCCGCTTGTTACCATCCTGCAGGGTACATCCGTGTTTGCGGACAACGATGGTCACTCTTTCCGCGACGAGTGTTAAATAAAGCTACACACAGCTTTGAGTCAAGGGCCTTGGCGAAGAGTCACAGCTTAGCTAGTCCCAATATCTTCAAGACATGCAGATATTACACGGTAAGGACCCAATAATAAAGCCTTACAAAGGAGCATCGCCGACAAAGAACCTCGAGATTACACAAACTAAACACATGACCTGACGGAAACCTTGGGCACAGCTGTTCCCTTGACAAGTATTATAGAATCTTCCTTCTCGCTGCCAGAATAATTGTCAAGATGGCTCTCAGACCTGTGCTCATTCTATTAGCACTTCCGACTACTATTGCAGTGCCTATACTTGGCGGAGAACTAACTGAAGCCAATGAACTACCCAGTACTATCGCAATAAGAAGAAAAGGCAGCTGTGAAAAAGACCAAACGTTTGCGATGGCGCGATAATAAGCCCGGATACAATTGTCACAGCTGCTCATTGTTCTGAAAGCAACGAGACAAAATACAAAGTCCGGGCAGGATCACTTATAAGGTTTTATATTTGTGACAAGGGTTCAGTATGAAGGCTTGGAGCAAAAAGGAGCTCAATTCAATAATAATCTCGAAGGGTCTCTAAGGTCTTGAGTTGCTACGAGAAAGGAAGAGAAGGGTGACCGCCTTATATACATAAAAGGAACGCGTGGGCACGTGTTCTAGCTGTGTAACCAACAAGCCCTGTATCGGCGAAGCCCCTTTGTTGGGCTTCACAATCTGTTGGGCCATTTCCGTGTAACAATATTCAAGTAATATTAAAAGAAATTTCTAATACTATACTACAGGATAGGCTATCAGGCGGTATTCTAGTGGACGTGTTATCGATTCACAACCACTCTTATTGCAACTTTCTCAATAGACATGATGACATTTCTGTCTGGAAACTATCTACTCCAATTCCCGAGAATAATTTGACTATCCGCTATGCTGAGTTGACAAGCGAGCACGATTATCCTTACATCTTTCTGCCGGAAATAATTATACCTGGTTGGTATGTTTAACCAGAGAAACAGTCTTCTTCCCCTTTGTCTTTGTATCGAATTCTAATATTTAGTTTAGGGGCGTGTCAAGGCAAGGCGGTGTTCCGACAAGGCATATGCGTAAAGTACACCTTCAAGTGGTGACTCGAGAGGCATGCGCAAAGGCATATGAAGATAGTGCTTTCCCGCTTCCGATACAGAGTATGTTCTGCGCAAGTTCAAAAGAGGGCGGTAAAGATGCTTGTCAGGGAGATAGTGGCGGCCCAGCTTATGAGGAAACACCAAAGAGCATTCATGGGCCTTGTAATAGCTGGCTACGGCTGTGGAAATCCTGCATATATATTATGATTAGTAAATAGTCACCGTATGCTAGGCAAATTCTTGTAGTCATGTTTTGAACAAAGCTTCTTTACAAGCGTATAAAATATTACTAGAATGCTCTGATTTAGGTAACCGTAGTTTAAGCCTGGCCTCTCGAAACACTCTTTGTCCAATCCATTAGAGCAATAAAGAATTTGGGCCCTTGCAGAGGTCCTACACAGTGACTTCTATGCTACGTACATAACAATAGACCTCTCTATTTTTATTAAAGAGTATCAACTATAAATGTATTTGATCTCTCTAACCTGCTCGCTATGCTATACCTGGCTATCCCGGAAGTGCCACCAAACGCACCACTGCAGGACAGTTGTAGAGTTGCTAACGAACAGGCCTGGGCTATGTAAAGGCATGACGGTGCTTGGAACGGTACGAACAGACTCGGCAAACTTGTCGTTCCTTTTCACCCACCCGAGTACCGTGTAAATATTCAGCATGATGCAAAGCCCTGCTTGGGCTTGACTGGTGAAAATACAGTCTGTGCCAGTGAAAATGGAGGCAATTCCAGGAAATGGGAGAGTTAATCGAATGGCTGCTCATCCAAGGAAGATCTCTCGATAAGCTTGCCTACCTATTATCTGTGGCAGGATATACTCACCAACCGAGATGTATAGACTACTACATTTCCAGGTATTCAACGTCGAATCTATAGCAGCCGAGCTGCGATTGCCGCAAAAGACAAGCTCTTGCTGTCGTGACGGCCAGCAGACACCACACAGGTCATGGTCATCATACGGCCAAATTTGGCTTTCGTTTCGCTAGTTACAGCATAGCCTACGGAATGGCATGTCACTCTTCTGCGCCTATCGAGTATCCGGTTGCAGTGGCAAATGCTGACAGTATTTTTGAGCACTATGGTCGTGGATATCTTCCCGATCTAGCCATCAGACCTCTGGCACTCGTCCTAATAACTTGCAAGTACTAGGCGAGGTTCATACCATGGCCTCTAGCCTCCGGAGGCGTCAAATTGTTAAGCTTCTTGGCAACCTATCTCTCATCATCGCTAGACACTGCTTACGTACGCCGTCTCATTGTCCGTTTTCAGTATTACCTAATTCTTAACCTGACTGCATCGAGTTGAGAAAGGACATGGACGTAATGCTGTGAATCCTGTGGTTGCGTCAGGCAGAAACAGTCTGTCTTCCACCATACTTCCTGCGAAATCTGGTTGAAAAGGAGGCGCTTATTGGCAGGTTGTGGAATAAGTTGGCTGAGTTGCAGGAGTGGGAGCGGGAATTAGAGGCAAAGACTTACACATGTAAGGCTATGGCTATTAAAATGGGCTTCTCAGGCTATTCCTCAATCTCCTTGCCGTGACGTGTTTCTCCAGCCTGTAACAAAGCCTTTGCCCTTTTCAGGAATTCCTGGATCTGCTGAGACCGTTCATCCGGAATGAGTAAATCGTTGTTGCGCAAGTATTCGGTGTATCGCTCGGACTTCTGAATTTGAAGCTCAATTTGCTCTGCAATGGCCTGATTCTCACTCTGTTCAAAAAACTCGTTGACCACGGCATCCCTACACGTTTCGGACCCAAATAGCCGTAGAAAAATGGAAGAGTAGTACACATCCATCAGGCTAGAAGGGTGACGTAGTATTTGAACTATCGGTGACAGTTCCAGAATAAAATCCTTACTTTGTGTCTCGTCGTGGTGCAACAATCCCCAATCTTGACACAACTGCGTCCAACCGCTTGATGTCTTGTGCAAATCCTCCAGGACTCTGCGAAATTCTAGCCAAATTTGCTCTCGCGGCACACCAGTTACCATAAGAAGGGTATCAGGGTCATGGCCGGTGATCCATGGTGGTGGAATGTAAATCTGCTGGGGAATTGTGCTCGTAAACTCCCAGTCAATGATGCCAAGAATATGGAAGTCATCGTTAACCATGATATTGCCACATCTTAAATCCGGGTGGGCTAATATATATGGGCGCTCAGGTTCTTGTAATTTGATGTGTTTTGGGATCTCCTTTGATACACTTTCCAGGGCAAATAGCTCCATTTTTGCCTGCCTGCGGTCGAGCTCTTCAACGGGCAGTTGAAATGTCTGCGATAATATATGATAATGAAGGTCCATGAAGCGGTTTACAGACGTGAAGATTTCAGTTAATACTGGCCGTTCTAGTTTCCGCTCTAATTTATTAACAGTCATGGAAAGGAAGGGGCCCAGAACAGGATTTGACTCGTCATCTGGATTGTCCGGGTTAGGCATTAGCGAACCCGTAGCCGAGAACTCAAGCTTGCGTAATTGTGCCAAGGTGTCAATAAGACCAATATACAAGTTCCGCCGTTGGTGTTCTGCGGCATGGAAGACGGTTCTTGTGTGAAGTTGTTGACCTTGTATAAATTCCATCAGTATAAATGGAGTTGAAGCTGCTTTCACTAGTGTTGTATCTTTTCCATATGCGTATATTTCGGGAATAGGAATCGTCGTATTGTGTTTAATATACCTGTAAAGGCTAGTTATTTACCATCCATGCGTCTATACGCAAATCGATGAAGCTTACCGGATGGTTGTCACTTCACTCACGACCTTGGCCCAGGCATTACGGGTCACTGGCTCGATTGGTATTCTTACCACCCATGTGACATGGGCATCAAAGAGAAGAAAGAAACAGATGTTGAAGCTTCCATTCCGCTGATCGACTATTCTGCAACATCTTCCGCCATTATGCCTCGATGCCAAATCACAAACGGCGGCTTTGTTTATTGAATCGATGAAGTCTCGTATTGTATCTTCAACTTGCTGTGCTGTAAGAGGAAATGTGTTGGGCGCGCCGTGGTCGGCTTGGACGTCGGGGATATGCTCCATAGCGGACGAAACGCCCTCTCTCGTTGTCCCGTTACGCTGATGCTAAGGACCGAATGTTTTTTGAGTCATTTGCAGGTCGACCTACAAGTCCATGGGACAACCTGGTCATATATTGGGATACTGTCGCCCGCTATGTCTGAAGACAGCGGAGTGAAGATGGAGGCCACTGGACTGAAAGTGGATATTAGAAAAAGGGGCCACGGGCGAATGTCGAAAAGTGATTGGCTCCGTTGAAATGGAATGAGGGAACCCGGAATATGCGAAAACCCGAACAAGGATCCTTGTCCTCCCTGTTGACTGCGAGTGGACTATATGTACTCATGACATCGACATCGAGTCATAAACCAGCACTTGAGAGCCGTGCTTTGAATGGCGCCAAGCAATGACTAGCTAGGAACACTAAGCTTGAGTTGTGACGGACGCAACGCTGCATGTGCATATATCGCGTCCCTAGGGTGCCCATAGACCTAGTCTATTTCACGATTCTAGTAGACGGTGGTAGCCTCTACTAACACCGCACTCTGCAACTATAAACACTGGCATACTACTTGAAAGCAAGTGCAATATTTAATGATGAGCATGGTCAAGGGTTGAACCAGCTACCGTGCACGACCGATAAAGGACACTAGAGGCAGCCCTTCTAGGTTGCCGTTATTTATCACCAGCCCGAAATAATAATGTGATACACCCTCTAGATTAGACAAACTACTAGAATGTATAGTGTTGACACTATCTCACACACACGTCACGGGGATACGAGGCCCGGTAGCGTACCACGTGTTAACATGAATATCTTTTGGACGCGAATAGTCTATTTACATCCCTTCTTAAGAGAGAATAAACTCAAACTTTGTATACGGATTTATATATGAATAGCCAGGGAATTATGCTCTTGGTGTTGTATATTAGGAGCTGTACCGCCAGATGTCGAGCGTTTCGTTGTGGCGGAAAGCAGGTCAGGGACCAAGGCTACGCCGGATAATGGCATTGGGGTAGTCAACTCGACCAGACTGCCATTCTTTGTGAATACGGGCTCTTATGCCTTTTGCTGGAAGACGATATCCTTTACGCCGCAAGCGACGCCGGCATAATTTTTTGGGCGAGGGGCCGTTAATTTCTTCGTGATGCAGTGACGGAGGGAAATAAGCCTGGCATAAAGGGCAACATCTAGTTATTCGTGCTGGAGGACATGTCACACAGACGAGTTCCGAATCTCGGCCACGTTGCCAACGCACCTAATTAGGCTTGTATCCAAGTATCATGTTGGATTATATCCTGACTAGATTGTTCCATCACAGTTCTCTGCGTAGCTCTCTATCAAAGATTCATTCTTGACCCTTTTTGGGATCTTCCGGGCCACGATGATACCAACAATATGGCCGGTGCCAATGCTCGGTTCGAGACTTGGAAAGTACAACATTCCTCAGGAGTACCGTTTTTCACACATTTGACAGCTTGTCTTCTCACGTGTTCAAATTTCTGTGCTGAGCTATCACGGCGATGTCGTTCGTAACCAGCACTGCCCATGGCTTTTTTTCAAGTCAGATCGTGACTGCTTTAATAATTCATTTTTGCAATACGAGCCTGATAAAGCATACTTGTTGGAATATTAACTATTTACAGTGGCATTTCCTTTGCTATTTTCTCCAGGGCTACAGCCAGATGCTCTTCTTAAGCGCGGGGCGGTTTCTCGGCTGCGTTGGCCCAGTCTCAAGAATTCCAGATGCATGATTATTCTTACCCACCAAATATAGTTTGTACGATCTAAAAGAATAAGGCTGCTTGCTAAAACTCGTCGATTTAGTACCTTCGGCCCATGTGCACATTAGTCAATCGGCAAAGAAGAAAGACATCAGGGGCTGGTGTTGACACTTTGCTTCGGGGTTTTCTGCTGCGAGTAGAACATTTCGTGTTTCCTAGCACAGAAAAATCTTTCTGGTGGTTGACGTAGACGTAGACTCGCTTCCGCATTCATCCTGCAAGCTGTTCACCGAGAAAACGGCCAATATCGGCAAGATCAACCTAGTCTTCGAATGTCTGAGTTCAAAGAAAAAGCGTAGCGACTAATATCCAGATATAGGTACGACTTATGGACCTTTCGATGATTGTGAAAGTGTAGAAAGGTTTAAGCACAACGAATATAGGGTGCAAAGGCAGGTCGTCGAACATATGATACAATATCTCACCTCCAGATACACAAGTTGGTCCATCTCCGGGTAGTCTAGTTGGTTTATGGCGTCTGACTGTAATTGTCTCATCAGTTGAATCAGAATGTCGCGTGTTCGAATCACGCCCGGGAGATTTTTTTGCTTCAGCATATCACGGTTCTCTGGTTTGGGTTCACCTGACTCAGGGCATGGACAAGGGATAACAAGCCGGGGCACCCATGCCAGCAGATAGAGACATGGAGTCTTTTCCAGCGTTATATATATGTAATATGCAATACACCGTCTATAGTGATAGGTTTGCTTACCAAGAAGTGCACACTAATATACTATCATATGGGTTGTGCTATTTGGGCAGCCAGCATATGGATATATCCTCAGCTACCGGACCTGGTTGAATGCTTTTTGTCCCCCACCGTAATGCAGTACTCAAGTTGGGCTACTAGGTTAGTAAAGCATGTATTACCTTGTTTTAATGACAAACTTTCCACACACACTCGTGTACATTTCTTCGGGCGGCCCCAAATTCGAAACGAAGCTGTAACATCAACAGCCGACGAGTCGACGGGGTATCGATGAAACTGGGGTCTGTTACCCTAAACAGAATGGTCTATGTACCGAGTCTTTGGTCCCATTCGTATGGCCCAGAGTTCTCCCGAGTTTTGTGTCGGCATCTTAGTCTAAGAACTATTACCGAAGGGACGGCACTGAAAGGCCGAACAGCCAGTTAGGGCAACGCTAAGACGACCCGCCTCCTCTCACAACACTGTGATGGCTCAATTGGTCCATCATGGACGGCTGCGGCAAGGAAGGCGGTGCCAATACCGTCAAAAATAAGAACGCGCTCTAATCAGACAGCAACCGTTTATACCCCCTCTAAGTGGAAGAGAAATAGCCCCAGCCACTTAGTTGCCAACGGGTATATTCCGTTAATAAATACCCACAGCTGAACCACCACCAGGTTCGCCGGTGCTTGCGGTTGAAGCGGCGGTCTAAAACATATCACTCCCTATACAGGAGACAGTAGACTCGTCCTAATGGTAATGTACCCGGCCCGAAATGAAAGCAAACGAGTATTGACAAACTTGCTTTCGTGTCAGCCAGGCCCAGATCTAGAGGAGATTCTGCAGGCGGCATGCGGCGAATCACAAGAATGGGACCATGAAGAAAACTAACAGAATTGCGCATAGTTAACTTGAAAGAATAAGAAACAAGACGTAAAAATACGAAACAAGACATGAAAGCATAAAACAGGACATGAAAACACAAAGCAGGCCTGGGCACAAACAATCTGGTAGCTCCCACGGCGGTCGCGAGCCGCAAAAAAAAAAAAACTCGCCCATAATACCAAATCCTCCTTTGAGAAACCAAAGACCATGTTCAGTTTTCGAGGATGTGCTGTAACACGGTCAAAGTAGCCCGGCTTGGAACGCGAGGTTCAAGCTCAATTTAATAAACAACTTTAGGGAACAAAAGGTCCTTGGTTTTCTAAGAGGCCGAGAGGGGTCAGACGTCTCTATAAATGTAAGAAGTCGGTGAGCGCTAGAGGCTTGAGGCAGCCCTCGCCAAAGTCTGACTCTGAGCTCTCGTGATACGTTTATTGTCCGATGTCTTTGTCCAGGTTTTGACTGTGTGGCACGTGCAAGGATGACGGAGCCCATAACTCGGCTAGTTCAAGTGCTTTCTGAGAGCCATGATATGGCATTAAAGGTGACTGATAGTGCCTCCAAGGAAATCGGCCTTTATCGATGGGAGAAGCCCAGATGCGCCCCCGATAGTCCAATCGAAAACCAAGGGCTTCATAGATGCTTCTGACTGACAAGTCCGGGCCAGCGAGAACCTCGCTAATGTCGGTAGATTGGATAAAGCCACCCCTGCGCATTAAACAAATGACCTGAGTACTAGGATACGTTAATAATAAAGTAAATTTATATACTATATTACATAAAAATATAATATTAGGTATCATGATAGATTAGTAAAATACTTACATCCAATCGCGACACCCAAAATACTTATTATCAATGCAGACAAACTGGAACTCGGACGCTGCATGGTAGAATAGCAGCCTAAGAACATCGCCAACTTCCCAGGGTGAATAGGTAGACTGCAAGTCCAAAGTGATTTGCTCGAGGGATTAGAACTGAGGGAAGGGCTGGCTATAAAGCCGCCATATTGAAAGATGACTTGTCGGCCATCTATAGACTCTCCCTCGCTCTGGTACTTAAAGTTGACATATACCTCTAGTCGCATACCCTCATAGGTCCCACATTTATCCGCGAAGATGATCTTAAACACTGCATGGTTGGCAGCCTGCTTCTTTTCGGCGATGCCTTCTTCGCCATGTTGGCCTTGTTCTGGCGTTGTTGTCTTCAAGAGCTCAACATACAATTTAGAGCACACGGTCTGCAGCAATGATTGAGGCAAAGCATTTCGGTCCTCCGACAGGTTAAAAGATATTCGATCACCGGTTTGGGAGTCCATTGAGAGGGTAACGGGAAAGAAGGGAAGGTGAGCATGTACATCAGGTGTGTAGGAGAGGAAGTAGCAGTTCTTGGCAGCACCAGACACTTTAATACTCCTCGACATGACTGAAAGATTCTAAGAATGAAACAATGCAAGGCTGTGCAGACTATGAACCGTTGGGTGAGGAGCAAAGAGGACAATCGCCATGGGGACATGGTGCAAAGATGTCCACGCGAGTCCAAACTTGAGCCGTTTGACGAAGCGCCTTTTCAGGGCCCGTCCGACAAGGCCATTCATATTTCTTGGATCTTTATACCTGAATGTACTGACTGGACCAACAAAGAAGCTTTGAAACCAACAAACAGCAATTTCCGTTCCGTGGGTGTAGATGCATGTGCCGACAAAGACGTCGACGGCAGCCGTCACGTGCCATGTTGACCATTGTCTCTCCGATTTGATTCCACTTGGCCCTGCAGCTCGCCTCCTTTTTCATTCATCGGACAGCAGCACCTTAATCACGCCTACAATACGCGATACATTCAGCATGTCGAGCCCAGTCCGTATGACAAGGGAGTGGCACGGCTCAGCGCTGCCCTTGCATGTCACAATCCCGCTGCCGTCACCAGCCGAACTGGTGCGGCTCTGCACCAAATCTCACCCCCTTGGTTATACCGTCGGCATGCCCTACCCAGATGCGGATTCTCCTGTTTTCTGGATCAAGTATTGTTCGTCCATCATATGGAACGAGCTGGCCGCACAGAAAATGGCTCATGATGGACTTGGCGAGCTCAACTCCCCAGTCAAGGCACCGGCGGTCTATTATGGCTGCCAGGTGACTGTCCATACAGGTGACCCCGATGCGTGGCCTCAACGTCGATCATATGTTGTGATGGAGTATATTCCAGGCAAGACTGCGGCTCAACGCTTGAAAGAGGCAACTGATGATGCGACCAAGGATGACATATACAAACAAGTAGCGCTGGCTTTGTCAGAGTTGCATCGCATCCCGGTGCCCCAGAACTCGCGTCCCGTCGCTGTCAACGGAGAGACCATATGCAACGTGCTCTTTTACGACAACGTGGCCTCACTACATTACAGAAATGTAACTGAATTAGAACAACACTTTAATGCGGTACGTGATGCCTTGAGGTAATACTCGCATCATGTCATCATTCTGACAATTCTCCACGCCTTAGTTTCTCTCCCTGACAAGACAAAAACATCGCGTCAAGAATCTTGCGCAAGAACCCATGGTATTTTGTTACTCGGACATTTGGCTAGGCAACTTCATACTCGATGATGAGGGCCGCATTACTGTAGTGGACTTTGAACTCGCGAGTATCCTGCCGTCTAGCTTCTCCAAGCTTGCCCTAGCCGATTCCCGATCGAAAATGAACAGAGACATTGGACCCATGGTGGTAGTTCCACAAGCAAAAGACATTGATAACACACGCGCACTTAGTGCCATTTCATGCCTAGTACAGGTGCGGGCAGGGTTTGCAAAGGCCGGCCGCAAAATTCTTGGATATTATGAGATGGAAGAAGTTGACAGGGTGGATAAATTGGTGACAGACGAGCATGGACAACCCGTGTCTGCGCCGGCCGAGACGCCGGTGACCCCGGAACCAGAACCAGAACCGGAGCCGGAACCGGAACCGACAATAGATTACTCTGTGCAGCGTCTACCGCCGCCCATTAGCCCAGGGTGGGAGCAGAAGTGGCGACAATATATGGGCGAGGAACACGTCACACAGGCGAAATCGAAATCCCCCTTATGCCTTAAATAAGCTTCAATTTCGCCCAACCACGACGTCATCAATGAGCATTGCACAGAGAACGCAAAACAAACCCATCATTTCCAGCATGCCCACTGCAAGACGTGTTATTCTTGACGTGTCGGGGAAGGCAAAAAGCCTCCGAGAGCCTAGCGGTATGGCCAACGTCAACACGGGTGACACTTTGCCCTGCTCTCGACTTACTCGGCACCAGTGTTGAAGCACTTTTATGGCTTTCATGGCGTTTTCCGAGCTGGGCGCCTGCACCAGAAGAGCCACAAGAAAATTGGACACGAGACGCCGTGTCCCTTGTCAGCACGACGAGACATTCATCGGCCCGGAGGCCACAACTCAGGTCTGGAAGTGCAGGCCACACATACACTACTAATTTGAGATGGGCAAAGTAGGTGGTAGTTGGATATACATAGGTGCCAGGCCTCATGGTGTAGAGACTGGCCTTGGCTGGCTCGGGTACAGGTATAGAAGCGCGTCATGCGTTGAGCTGGTCAAAAAGGGGCTTTGCGGCTTGAGTCGACGATTTTTATTCAGTCTTCAGTAAGCTTCTAACATGCACGAAGAGAACTCAAACAGCGCCAGTGGCGTAAAAGTTTTAGCGTAAAATGTAGCCGCGGAAACATACCAACGTGATTCTTATATCGAGTCTGCAACCCCAGCAAGACGAGCCATATCTCGAAACGCCGTGTATAAGTTGCAAACAAGTGTCTCCGAGTATAGTGCACGGTAGCGTTCGAAGTCTATACTATCAAGCTCACTCGTATTCCCTTCGTGGCGTCTTGGGTAGGGGGGATGTCCCAGGAGCAATACATCCACTTGTCTTCGATAAATACACGCCACTAAAGCCTTTAGCAAAGTCTTTATTCTCTTGCCGGGATGCCAAACATGCGGTACTCAAGATTTAGCTCCAAGCTATGACCAAGGCCAACAATAAAGCCCATAAAGCACCATGTGAATGGAGTATCAGAAGAGGCACAATAGCATCGATCACTGCTGGCTTTGTGCAGATATCGCAACGCGGCTTTGAATGTCGATAACCGCGGTCGGTAAAGGGCTTCTTGGATAGGTTTGTAGACAATGCGCCCTATTTTACCTGGTGGAGGGTGGTAATAATCGTACAGAACGGCGAGTTGGTCGTCGTATACCGCTGCAGCAAGTGGGCTGGAGTGCTTTCTAAGACTGTGCATTCAGGGACTAACTCGATTGACGTGAGGCCGAATTGCGATGGTAAAATAATGGGCGGGACTGGGAATGCGTATTTGGGGAATCTCGGGCTGGGTAGTCCATCCATGATGCTGGGTTGAGGCGACATTCGGAATTTACAATGGAACTAGTCGTGTCCGTCCCATGTGCCGGAGAGACCAAGGTTTCTAGCTCAGTTCTCATGAGGTTCAGCGGCTCAAGCAAAAACGATTTTAATATTCAGACTAAGCCCAATCAGGAATCTCCCCTCAACTTTATATTTGCGCCATTATTAAGCAACACTGGGCATCTAGTTCAACCAGACGCGGGGTCTAGCACAATGCCCGTTACACATCGCTCCGCTGCCCACGGAATCGAGGCCGTGTTTCTACCTCCCAATTTTCTGAATGAAGGAAAGCAAGAGGGCTTATCGAAAGCTTGTTATCGTTGGTGATGGTGGTTGTGGGAAGACCTGCCTGTTGACGTGAGTTTTTCTTTCTTTGGCAAAATTCTACTATACCCCATCATGGCATACGGGCCTCTTTACTTTTACATCCAACCCGTTATCTATACTAAGATAAATGCAGTGTCTTCTGCAAAGGTATATTTCCCGAGGTAAGACTACTGTCATTAATTGAGCAAGTATCCCGGTGCCTTTCGGATAGCCCAGCATTTGATCTTGGCTACATGACGTTTACGTTCTGAAAACTGTGACGGCTTTTACCAATCCCCTAATGTACTAATTTTGTCCAAGGCATATATACCTACCGTATTCGAGAGTTATGTTCAACAAGTTCAAGTTGATAACACCTCCGTCGAGCTAGCTCTATGGGACACAGCAGGTCAAGAAGATTATGACCGCTTCCGTATCCATTCATACCCCAATGCCGATATCATTTTGGTCTGCTTTGCTCTCAATAACTCTGTTTCTCTTTCCAATATCGAGAAAAAGGTAATTCTATTCATGTATTACGAACACATAATCAACAACTGCCAACTACTCTTTTTGTACTTAGTGGCATCGCGAAGTCTCTCAATATTGCCCCAATGTTCCCATCATTTTAGTCGGTTGCAAGAAGGATCTGCAGAACCAGCAATATAGGTCTAATATGACCACTAACTTGGAGCAAACGAGTACATTTACAACCCCGAAAAAGGTAACTTGAGCATCTTTGATCGAAGAGCGTAACGCTGTGATTATTGCCACACAGGACTTGACGTGGATTGTGTATACATGTAGCCTTTGCTAACAGATCCCACCAATAGATCAGGAAGATACGAAAACTGCTAAAAGCTGTCGGTTACATCGAGTGCTCAGCGTTGAGCGGCGAGGGGGTACAAGACGTGTTTAAAGTAGCTGCTACTCATGCTGTCCAATGCCAAAGCAGTTCCAATAAACAAGACGGGTGTATTATTCTATAATTTGACGTTTTCATTTCGGAAGACAGGTAAAGCAGACTAAATACACGCGCAATAAAATACTCTTCATCCAACCCCGAACCTTGTATTCTTAGTGTTTCCCTCCTAATCTTGAACCGTCTTTGCATCATCTTGGCTCACAAACGTAGCTGGACACCGGCGTGTCCTGTTGACCTTGAAGTCAAATACATCCAGTCGTTGGTAGCCGCCCACGACGTCGTGGTACTGTTTTCCTTCAACGCAGTCCTCCACGTTTATATCCGCGTACAAGATTCCCTCAACATCTTGCAAAAAGGGAGTAGGCGTTTGGGTCTGTGTCTCATTGCTGACAGTAAAGCCTGTCAACTGCGCTCCCGTAGGATCCAGAAACATGGTAGCGCCGCGCTGGGAGTCCTCCAACACGCGCCTCAAATGCGCGGAGCCGCCGGAAATTTCCTCAATCGAATCCTGTCCCAGCACGCCACAGCAGAGGACACCAAAACATTTGGCTTCAAAACAGTGGCCAGCAGCACGAGTTCGATTGGCTGCAACATTGTCATAGTTTGCGCCGCGTGATGCAGTTGGACCCGTCGCATCCTCAAGCCGGGTTGGCCATATCGCCGGCCAAGTCGATATGTGAATTTGTTCACCCTGGGCCATGAGGGCATATCTGGCGAGCGGGTTGGTGTTCTCGCCACAGATCAGGTTGCCAATTTTTCCAAACGGCGTTTCGGCAACTCGCAAACCATGGCCATCGCCGGGGGCCCAGGTGAGCTTCTCAAAAAAAGTCGGTACCAACTTCCGATGATGAATAAGAACTTCACCCTGGCCGCTGATGAAGAGATTGGAATTGAATAGTGTGGCACTACTGAAGCCAACCTTTTCTGAAAAGCCAAGGCTAACCATCATGTTGAACTCCTTTGCAGCTGCGCGTATATCCTGAATCTCCTCTCCATCGGCATATATTGACTCTGTTGCCATGCGCTTAAAAAGGTCATGGTTGGCAGTTGGTGGGCGAATGGCACTCCATACAGGAAATGCAGGGATGAATGTCTCCGGGAAGACGACGAGGTTGGCTCTCTGTGCCGCCGCCTGTTCAATCAGTCCAATGGCCTTTTGGGTGGTCTTTTTGGCTGATAGGAAAATAGACGACACGTGACAAGTCGCTACTCTGATAGGAATGGGCATGGTTTGACGGGGTTTTCCAAGTGCGTGCGGAGTTGAATAGCGGATTAGAATTGAGGGGTTACATGTCAACGGCTTGAAGGTATAAATAGGATAAACGTCTGGTCTGGTAGTACAAATGCTGAGCTAATTGGTACCTCGGTGCTTGTTCTGGGCGCCGATACGCCTGTCCATTCTGTTGTTGTAAAAGTACAATAATTAGCCTTGTTGTCCGTAGATTTGTTCGGTTTGATCTCTTTAATGCCGAAAATAAGATGTCGGAGATGTAATGTCTTTGGTTTAGGCTTTACTCTTGCTATAGCAACATGCGGGTATTAACCGTGGCACAAAATATCTATGTATTGCTCGACAGTCTGGTAATTTGCCCAGATTTCTCATAGCTTTCGTTACTCTTGGATAGAAGGCTGGAATCAACGTCCGGTTAGCGGTAACGAAACATGGCCTCTTTGTGGCCGGTTCCGGCTGTGTCGCATCTTTGACTAGCTTCTTTCCAAAGTCTGGTATAGAGGTGGCCGTAAAATTATCTCGAAACAATTAACAAATAGGACACATAGAACAGAATCATATACGCTTTAGACCTAATAGGAAATCCAGGGCTTAGCTCCTGCGGCAGCGCCCAACTTGAACCACGGGCCAGATTATCGCCTTCTTTTTTGCCTAATCGTCAAGTAGGTCCACGAGGTCAAGTGGGTCTTATCCGTGGCTGGATATTATTGCCGGTATACTAGAAACTTAAACCCCTCGTCAAGTATAACTGCAAGGCACAGGCTGCTAAAATCAGAGGTAAAACTAAACGCATAAATACATAAACAAATAAAAGTATATATATCGAAGTAGAGGTACATAATTAGCTTTAAAATAAGTAATATAAATACTTATATTTAACGCAAATATACAAATTATAAAGCGGAAACCGGGCAATATAAATTAGCTAATAAGTTGTAAATAATAGTACTAGTTCTTGACTATTAATAGTATATACTATCCACGTAATAAAAGCTATAGTAGCTGGATAAACTTGCGAAAACTCTTGTTTATTTTATTTAGTCGGCTGCAAAGCCGCTAGTTATCTTGTCTGGAGGAAAACACGAAATACGCTATAGTAAACTCGATATAAAAAAACAGTAATATATTTTATACTAGAGCTAAGCTTTGGTAGTAGTATATTACCTTTTATATATATTATACTTTTTATACTTTTTTTTATATTCTTGACCTTTTAATATTTCTCTTTATATATTTACCCCTTAAATATAACCACAAATAACTATTTATATTGTAAATATTAATATCTTATAGTCTTAGAAATATTTACTTACAGTTGCTTGCGTCTCGGTAGGCCGCAGTAATTTCTGCTCCTTATTATTGCTGTTGGTCGTTTTCCAAGCGGCAAAAAACTTGGTACTATTATTTAATTTGTTAGAAAAAAATCAATTAATTTACTTATAAACCTGGAGAGCTTACATAGGGGCCGAGATCGTCACTCGTTTCACATTTTCCGCACTTATAACACACACGTATTAATATACTACCAACTTACTAAGAGTATACCCTAAGATATATATAACTTACACCGCCGTGTTTTTTACAAGCAGAAGCAAGAGGATCGATATTAGGCCGGATACCCTATAAATATTAGTTTTAAGATAAGCTATAAACTTATAAAATAAGACTCCTTACTTTTGATCCAATACTGCAAGAAATACGCTTTGGCTAGTTTGTAGCTATTATATTAGTATAATATTTATTGTTGTGTATAAATAAGATAGTAAAATTATAAAGTACGTACAAGATTTGAATCCTATTAGATTATGATATTAGTATATCTCGGCTTTAACTTATTGAGAATAGAATAAATACTTACGTCATTTATAGCCTTAGAAGAAAATATAATTAGTAAGTTACTATTATATTATAATCTTATTAAAAAAGAGTATACAAACCACACCCTATTATATTATAATTAGTATACTTATTACTTTACGTGCTAGGTAGAGAATATACTTACTAGAAAACTTGAGCCCTTATTAGTAAGTATTAGCAGGTTATTATTATAAAGTTTATAAAAGTATACTTACTTCTTTCTGTATTAATATTAGTATATATTTCCCTATTTCTAAGATTAGCTTACCTCAAATGCGCAAGTAAAAATTCCTTCATTTTGCCTAGTATAATATTCGATAACTTCTGCCGTGGTCTATAATTATAAATATTATTAATTTTTTGCTAGATATATAGCAGTTTTACAAAGAAATTATAGGGATTACCATATTCTTAGGATCAATAGTAGGGTTATCGTCTTGTATCTTTGAGATAAAATCCCAAAACAGCTTGTCGTCAGCGTCGTCAACTCTCTTTACTAGTGCGGCAAGGGATAGTCCGGCGAAACCGGCAACAAGAACAAAGTACTTCATAGTGTTGTAACTTGCTGAGTAACCGAAGTTGTAAATAGGTATAATTGGGAAGCGAGCTGAAACAAGCAGTTAATAATATTCTAAAAAAAAAGGAATACTAAAAGCAAGAGAAAGTAATAGCTTTAATACACAAGTTAAATAGTTTTTTGCATAAATATTAAGTGCTAAAATTTTGCTTTATTTGGACTTTAATTTCTCTTGTAGGGTCCTCTAGCCAGTATTTCGTCAGCAGGGTTCAGGGTCCTCCACCTAGCATTTTGTCGGCAGGGCCCCAAGTCCGTACACACTACTAACTACTCTACATCCTCGGATATAGAGGCGTAGCCGGTGTGTCGTATATTAGGCCTACCCCAATTGCACTTGTATCGGATATAAATTTCTCGTAGTAATTATAAACTATAATTTAAAGCAAGCCGACTGCTTTTCCCCTCCTCCTCTTGACTGTAAATAGACAAGTATTCGGTATATATATATTCAACAGACGTGGCCTAGTGTGCTGCTACAAGCATTACGACTTGTTGGCTTTACGGCCCATATGCTAGGCTCTTCCATGTAACGATATTTTATGCTACTATTTTGACTTATAGGCTTCGATTAGGTGTAGTAACTGCTACGATAGGTATTTGTATCCTAGTACTCTAGGCCCTGTAATTTAACGTCTCGTATTATATAATAATGCAATCCTAGCCGCGCTGACTTTTATCAATTTATTATTAATCACGCTCTGCCCACACTTTAGAAAGTTGTGATCCCACCCGGAAACCCTGCACGACAATAAACGTATTCCTTCCTTCGGCCTCAACCCTCTTGTCAATATGTGTTACATAATCTAGGGCATGCTAATACCAAGGCAAGCAGTTTATCGGTCGCTGCGAAGTATATTTGTGACGGCATGAAAACTTAGTTGCCGGCTTTGTGGGATAATTGTCACAAAAGATCGAGTATAATAAGTCGTTTTGTCGGAATAACTACTTGGCCTCTTGCTATCTGACTAATTTTGCTGCAGAAAGTACAAGGGTATTTCCAAGGCATTTCCAACTAAGACGGGACCTTGGTCATGCTTTTGCATGATCCAAGGCAGGGTTGTGTCCTGACTCGATATTATATCAATTTCATGCAGGATTATACTAGTTATAAGGCGCGCATAATTACAGAGAGACCCTCTTATCCTGATACAAATTTTTCATGCTTGCGATTTATAAGGCATAATTTACTAACCCTAGCATAAATCCTTTTATTTACTTACCTTGATACTCTATTTATGCAGACAATTTTTAAAAAAGCGGTAATTGCCTTTTAAGGTATTAAAACCCTGTTACTGCTTTACCTGGGTTCGCGTTGATAAAAAAAACTTATATTTTAAATTAAATACTAGTTGATTTTTTAAAATAGTAGGCGCAATAATAGCAGGACCCTTAATTATTAAATGTAGGCAGTCTATTGTAGCTGTATATAAAACAAGGTAAAAACAGGCCCCGTAAATAGGCAGGTCAAACAAGATAGCAGGGAATAGCAAACTTCACATGGCATAAATATCTCCTGATATATTTTTCTATTTTAAAAGGATAATTAAAGCATAATACTGCCTTGACGAGCCCCTGCGCCTGCCTATTATTAAAAGTAGCTAGAGAGTCCAGCTTGGTCCACAAGTTACGTGGTATAGTCCACGGGAAGGTAGTAGAGATGACAAATCCAAACCGGATAACCCTTGTGACGCCTTGCGACTCGAGACACTCTTACTCCAACGAGCTCTATCGGATCTCAAGTGGGAGATTCCGGCTGGAACCGAATGCCCCACCATGGACCGTAGCATTGCCGGCGTCGCCGTCCGCGAGCTCTGGGAAGAGACGCAATTGAGGGCGCGGAAGCTTTACTGCACGGTTGGGCTAGGTCTTGGCGACACCACCACGAGTCTCACATCTAAAGTGCCAAGATGGATTCTGAACTGGAAACCTGCTTATTGCGTGTGTCGGGTCAAGTCTGACTCAGTGGTGATGTTTATGGCATAAACAGATGTGGAGAACGGGTGTGGAGAGGCGGTGTTGCGGTCAAAAGAGGACACGTCGTGGGCTTGGATAGGGGAAGACGAGGTGATGAAAGAGCAGTTCTGTGGCAAAACGAACAAGACGCTCGAATTTGTCAGTGAAGCGATGAAGATGACTCTGTTGCAAGGTTTCAAGATGCGGAAGCACATGATGGGTTGAGTTGGTTATATCGAAACCCAATTTGCGCCCGACAGTGCAAGAACCTAGGGTACTGCGCTGGCCCCCATTGTCTGGTATACTCGATGATATTGTTGCCGTTTCTCGACATGATTTATTTGACCAACGGCTCGACACGATTCGATGACGGGTGCTCTGCAATAGTGGCATGCAAGTCTAGGCAACGGGCGCGGAGCGGCTGATCGGCAACTAGATGCAATCAATGTATTGGCAGCCAACGCCCATGTTGACTCGGCTAGACCCAAGGCGGCAATCGTTCACGCGCCCATGTCTCGGTGGCATCACGACTGGACTCCTTGCAGCGGGCAGACGGACTCATGTGTTTAAAACACGAGCTGGAACCTGATCGAATTCCAGACATGGCTCAAAGGCGCCCTTGGTATCGGCCCTTGATCTCAACGGTTCGGGGCGTTTGCGCGATGTTGAGCGCAACTTTGATGCCACCAACTGTAAAGTTGGCGCCACTGGAAATGTAGATATGAGACAATGCCCCGGTTCATTGGGCCAGAACGCGTTCGCAAAACCTAGCCATGAGATTGCCATGGGATACTTTGTCTCCCTTGTCTCACAATCCAAGGAACGGTCGGCAAAGGCATACCGCGGCGGCGGCCGACGTGTCAACTGTTGCCCGGGGTAGTTGTGTTGGAAAATGAAGCATTGCAACTGTCCATGCCAAGGCGCGTCGATCTCTTCCGAGTCTTTTCAACTACGCCGAATGAGTTCAACCGCACAAGATTGACACGACACCATGGCTTCTGGATCAGCGGCAAGCCAGGTGCCAGAATAGAGCCCTACAGGCTGAGATGGCGTTGAATGGCGAGAGGTTTAACCAATCAACGCTCCAATTGAAACAAGGCTGTCGTATTGGTGACTGTGGCACAACGGGGCGCAAGTCTCGGCCGCCCGTCCCTGATGAACCAGAGTCTATCTATCCGTCACTGTATAGGGAAAAGAGACGAGACAAAGGGGAAGGGAGGGCGCCACCATCGAGTCCCCGGCCTCGTATTTGATGCCTTGGGAGGGAATGCGCTCTCTTCGGCGGGAGCAACTATTAAGACGCCCCGACGCCAGGCAATCATGCCAACCCACCGCATTGGGCAATTTGCCTCAATGGTTTCGGTTGTAACAGAATCATGCACCAGATGGTATAAAGAGGCTGCTGCATGAAATGCGGGCTGAAACCGGAACCCTTGATGTCTCTGTGAGTTGCCATCTGTCACCATGTAACCCGCGCGCTTCGGAAGCTCATACAAATGAAATCCAACTTCTCGTAGAACCGAGCTGCAGAAACTACTCTCGCTCACAGCATCATGCCACACATTTCACCATGTTGCTGGCTGCGCGTCGTCTCGTCTTCTCCATTCTATTCCACGCGATTGTCCTGGCCAAGATAGTCCATCTTTACGTGAATGCCCACTCTTTCTCGTTGGCGGCTTTCCTGGTTTGCCTACCCGTGTTTCTTATCCCCGATGTGCTTGTCCTGCTCCTTGTGTGGTCTCTTTTGCAAAACAGACGGGGACGATGTTCTCTGCTGAGCACCGTTGCTTCGTGTCTTGTCAGGTACGGATGGCCCCTTTTCCTCAAAACATGATCAATGAGATCGGTGGCACATGCCCACCAAGCTGTGTCTATCCAGACACTGACGAGAGAACCATGAGCAATAGCATTTCGACATGTTTTGCCGCAGCAGCACTTGTCAGCTTCTTCTGTGAGACGGGAGGGGAAATCCGATGGGCCGATGCCGTCTCGGTTGCCTTTGACGCTGGCGCCAGAAAGGTAGCGTCCAGCGGCTCAGGCAATGCGTTGATAGCTTGTGCTGCGATCATTGTGGTTTCCTTCTCTATGCAGGATCTGCTGCACCGAGCTGTAGGTGCAGTCTTGCACCATGCGCGCGATCAGCTGGATTCGAGTAAGTTGGCTGGTTTCTGGACTCTTGTTCATACCGCCTCGCTAAACGGTCCCTCCACCAGTGCTTCATCTTACACCGGGAACCTATTTTGCGAAGAAGCTGGCGGATCATAATCTTCTGCTCCCCACGGTAGATAAACAGATTACTGGTTGCATCGATTTAGATGGACTTTATGCCAGAAAAGAACAGTGTGTACCAGCCAGCTGCTCTTATTCCGCTGGCTATGTGTCGGGGCGTCGTTTCATTTGTTGGTGTATCATTGGCACGCAGCTTCTGGGTTGTTTATTGTGCGTATTTCTCCAACCGAATCTTCCCTACCGCCATGCTGCAGCGACGTTGCCTCTGTCTCTACTCTCTGTCGTGCGCTCCTGTATACTAGGGGCCGCAGACCACCCGGATGTTACGTGGCCACTGCCCAACCTTGTGACAAGGCTGAAGTGGGAATCGCCAGATGGTTACTTCAAAGGCTGGGCTCCCGGAACGGACAACGAGTTCGTCAGTAAATACAGAAGCAGAGTTCCCGAGTGGCTGCCCGAGTCGCCGCCTTCCGGGTTCCATCGTTGGGAGCCTCAGTCAAAACCGACGTCTGGCAACACGTCGGACAATGCAACCGACGACGAGCATGCAGAATCTCCAGATTCCGCATCAGACAACCAGCACTTTTATAACCCCGTAAATGACCCCTTGAAGATCAACAACCTCCATGGAAACATCTTGCCGGCGCTGAGAAACACGCTGGAGCTAGAGTCGGTCAACATACGGCATGTTGTGCTTATTCAGATGGAAAGTATGCGGCAGGAGCTGTTTCCTCTTCAAAAAGAATCCAACTTTCACAAAATGGTTTTGCAGTCACATGATGAGTCCAAGCATGATGATGTGAATCTTCAGCTGGCCCGCCTCACTGTGAACGCGGAAAGAGTAACCGGAATGTCGGGAGATTTTCATACAGCTGACGGAAGACGGATTCCACCGGAATCCAAGGAGTGGCACGACAGGACAGAAGCTGGCTTAGGGGGCTTGAATGTCATCGGGACACACACTACTTGCAGCTCGTCCATTAAGAGCCTGGCGGCGATACATTGCGGCGTTTGGCCCATGCCCGTCGACTGGTGCGAAGAATCCAAGCTCCAGAGCTATCAGCCTTGCTTGCCGCAGATCTTCAAGTTACTCAATATGCTAAAGAGTGAAACACGCAACAGCTCAGACTATCGTGACCATAAATGGTATCCTGCCTTTTTTCAGTCCATTGCCGATGAGTTTGACGACCAAAACAACATGGATCAGATGATTGGATTCGAGCACATCGTGACTAGACAGCAAGTCGATGACCAAGTTGCAAACAGCGGGGTGGATGAGGAAGAGGTCAACTACTTTGGATATGCTGAAACGGCGATAAAGTCTCATATTAAGGACTACATAAAGAAGGCAATAGAAAGCAATCAGCGAATGTTTCTCTCTCATTTCACCAGCACGACACATCATCCGTGGAGCGTCCCGTCGTGGTTCGACAAGACGGAATACATGGGTAGTGCGCGCGGGGGACTTACGACTTCGCATGAAGACATGAACAACTACTTGAACACGATCCGCTGGAACGACGCCTGGGTAGGCGAGGTGATGCAGCTGCTCGACGACTTTGAAATCTCAAACGAGACGTTGGTCGTCTTTGTGGGAGACCACGGGCAGGCGTTTAGAGAGGACACCAAAGCCAGCGGCACGTACCAGAACGGCCATATCAGCAATTTCCGCGTGCCTCTGGCATTCAGGCATCCGCGAATTCCCCGTGTTCAACTTGCCGTGAACTCAACCTCCATCAACATCTTGCCTACAGTGCTTGATCTCTTGATTAGTAGCGGGTCGCTGAATGCGCGTGATACCGATGCAGCGTCGGACATTATCCAAGATTACGAGGGGCAGTCACTAATCCGTCCCTTTGAAGCCACGCATCGCGGCCGCCGTGCTTGGAACTTTAGCATTGTCAATCCAGGCGGTCGCTTCCTTGCCATGACGTCGGCCGATGTACCCTGGCGGCTTGTTCTCCCTTGGGACGACAGTGCGGAATACGTCTTCACGAACCTTGAGAAGGACCCGCTAGAACTAGACGGCATCTTGAATTGGTCTCTGGAAGGCCTTGTGTCGGATGTTGAACGACATCTTGGCACGGATGCGGCCACATGGGTGCGCGAGGCAGCATCTGTTGCCCGCTGGTGGGGGATGGAACGTAAACGACTCTGGAAATACCACTGACAAGGGGCGCTGTCACAAAAATATGGGTTCTCATGAATAGAAACGGAATGCTAGTGCTATATAGTAATGCAAAAATTACGTGGTTTACCATTGTTGCTATTTGATGGCATCCCTGCCCTGTCTGTCTCTTGACAGTCCGATTTGGCCAGTATGGCGACTTGGTACAGGCAATTCATTGCCAATCTTATTATTACGCAGAAAATGAATGCTGCGGGCCAACTAGCCCCTTCTTACAGCAGCGGAGGCAAAAGCTATTGGGCTAGATCATATACTTGGCTACCGGAAATTCATTCTGTCACGGACTGTGTCTACTTATACATACGACTTGGAGGTTTCTTACGAGAATCTTCCTTGCCAACCTAGCTGCCTATTCAATTAGTGACTTACGCACCATGAAAGACACTGGCGTCTTTGTATCGAGGGAATTGAGACAAACAATGTTTGTAGTTACCATAGAACATGACGCCAGTGGACCTTTGCATTGAATAGCAACGACTTAGCTAGTAGGTTTGCCGGACATCTTGTAGCTTAAACCTTGAAGCGTAATTACAAGCATCTAGATAAAAAGGCCCGAGTAGATGAGTACGTACTCGCCAACACGCGCACAGTAGATGACGTACTCGTTGACACCAAGCCTCGCCGAGGATCTAGTTTGATACGCTAGGCGTGAGCGGAAACATTTTAAATCGAGACAGAGGCAGAACAGTGTGTACATTAAATCGAACAAGGCTTCCCACTGCACTGGCCGAAAGAAAAAATGACTACACTTACAGCATAGACAAAGCTTAATTCCAAGTCCCCTTTTTCCTAGGGTATAAAATGACTCCACACCCTCGCGTTCAACATTCACACAAACAAAAAATCACCAGCTGCTCCTCGATCTCGAAGCCGGGTAACCGCGACGATGCCGCCTTATTTACTTAGGGACGCAGACTTCTTCAAAGAATTCACCGAGGAGATTGACGGGGACCGTAAACGTTTCCCTCGTTATGGAACTAATGCCCCTGCGGTTGCTGTTCAAGGAGTTTTCAGTGGCATAGCTGCTAATAGTTGTTTCAACTCTTTACAACGAATTGTGATCAGCCTCCCCGACAAAATCCGTGCGATGGTGCACAGGGTAATTCGCCGAAACGACTATAACCAGCATACAAGTAGGGCATCTCTCACAGCATTACCTACCGAAATTATGCTACAAGTCATGGGTTATTTACCCGCAACTTCGTTGTACTGCCTGCGCCAGACTTCAACACGATTCATGTTACTATTTGCCACAAAAGAGCTTAAAGACTTCCATCAAGTTTACGGGGCATTTGGCGTCTATACCGGGTTTAAAATGGATGTATTGAGCGCAGCAGAAAAAAATGCTGTTGCGAATTCTCTACATCACGAGAAATACTGCGCCTCCTGCCTTGCGGCTGAAGAAAAGCGGCGCTCTGGAGAGCAGGTTAAAAATGCTACGCAGGTTGCGACACTGTGATGGATGTAATCGACTACATGCAAGTGCGCTCTTCTTGCCCGAGGCCCAGGAAGAAGACGGCGCCGGCTCCGGCCTGCAATGTATCGGACGGCTCGGACATATTACACTCTGCAACCATCGTTCGTGCCGGCCCACGACGTGGCGCGATGTGTGTCAAGATTCCACATCAAGCTGGTACCGTGCCACGAGGCATTCACTCGTATGCACAAACCAGTCACACCAACCTAAATCGGATCGCAATAATACACGTTCCTGGTATGGATCCGCATTCCCACGGCTTATTGCACAAGATAGTGCTATCCATCCCTCGGTATTCCAGATAGGGTATGGGTGGGATCTCCCCCTGCTCGAAATCAGCGATGACTACATCTTTTTTCCTACTCTAGCTTCAGTTCGACGAGCGCTTTCTGAAGTGGTTCTAAATGCTTTTCATGAGCACAAGCTATGCCCACACATCTCTGCCGATAAAGAGATTCAGACTTTTATCCAGCGTGGCATTTGTAAATGCTTTAGCTCTCGTTCGCTTATCTTGCCATATAACAAACACAACTTTTGCAAGTGCCAGCGTCAAGCCACACTGGAATGTCGAATGTGTGGTGCGGTATGCACGTGGCTTATAGAAGGTCGCCGTGTGATTCTCTCCTTTCAGTATGTCTGGCATATTCAAAGACCAACCAGTCCCGGGTGGCTGGGTCTGATGGATAAAGAGTTTAAAGAAAAGCTCTTTACTAAAGAAAATCAGAATGTTCTCTGGTGTGAAACACCAAACTGTCGGACAAATACGAGGGGACGATGGGAAGCACTAGTCAAGGAGAATTTGGAGAGGGAGTATATGAATACCCCAGATAACGAGGCTGAGAACTGGTCCGACTATCTGGAGGCGCTGTTTGCGTCCGATCAGGGTTCCTTTCAGAACTGGTGAAGGATGACAAAGGGTTCTAAGAGAATGAATATTGGCGATGCCATGATAGGAGATTTGAGGAAGGATTAGTAGTTGACTTCCAGAGCACGGTTATACATGTCAACTGCTTTAAGTGAGGTTATAACACATAATGTTATTACACATGGTTCAAGTTGAACTGTGGTCCGTGGTAGCTAAGGCCTGCCCTTTAACTGCCCAGCCTGGTATGAACTATGGGGGGCTTTAAACTGCTCTTATGAGAGATTCTCACTTTAAGGCTTGGTGTCTTGTGGATTGAATTGAAGGAAAAAGATGTTTAAGCAGTGTGGATGACTAGTAGTTGTGATTGTTGATGCGTATGTCGGCACATAAGCTGCATACGAGACCTGCAGGTATTCGAGGCGTCGGCTCTGCGACTCCTTGGATACTGCAATATTTGCAGCTTTCCGCGGCCTACCAATAGATCAAAATCAAAGCTATGTGCGTGAAATCTAGGCGGTGTGCGTGCAGCCGCCTTGAGGTGGCGGAGGGAATACGATTTGAAACATCGACCCTCAAGGCTGGGGGCGGATGCGCGCAATGCCAGGTAATAGCAAAACGCCCAACAGTCAGCGGTAGGGTAGCAAATGGTATCCTAGTCTTACAGCCTACATATAGCATATAACGGGTTAGTCATGACTGATATGCGAGTGTACCAATAGGTGCAGGTATAAGCGCCAATTGCGGTAGCACAACCCCAAGACACATTCTCTCCGCGAGAGGAAGTACAGCGCACAACAGCATAAGCGATGCAGCATGAAACACAAAATATGCAAGTCAGAAATGCCCCAACGGGGCTCCTGGCAGTGCAGTCTACGTCATCTAGAATGAGGCGAGTCTATGTATAAAGCCACGGTACCATACCACATCCCTCGTCCACCATCGAGCTTACCCAACTGTTTCCAAAAATACACACAGAGTCCAGTACCTACGGCTGCCGGCATGGCGACCAGACCAAAGAAATAATTCAAGATATCGAGGTATATAAGCTTCGACCCTGAAAACGGATACGGAAGAGTCGACAATGATGCTAGGCAGCGAGCGTCGCCATGTCTCAATCGACCCCGTCACCATCGGCTGCCGCCATGGACGATGCCTCCGGAGGCAGCAGAGCATTTGTCATTATTGTCACTATCGGTAGCATCACGACGATATCTCTACGCTTCTGGTCCCGTAGCATTCAGAGGGCCCCGGATGGGCTTGGCGGTTCCCATGTCTCCCGTTTCTGGTGGGATGACTGGGCTGCATTAGCTGCCATGGTACGTGTCTGCAAACAAGAAGCTATATGCAATGATAGTACACACGTCACTGACCTTGAACCTGGTCTCTAGCCCTTTATTCTCGGCCTATGCGGCATAATATTTGCCATGCTGTACCACGGGCTCGGCCGCCATATTCAATTTGTGCCGCCAGACAAGGTTGCCATTTTTCTGAGACTCCTTTATGCCCTGTACTACATGTACAACTTTGGCTTGTTCTTCACCAAGTGCTCAGCACTACTCTTTCTCTCCCGAATCTTTTCCTGGCACGCGAATACAAGGTGCTTCAACTACGCCATTGCCACCACTCACCTCCTCAACGCCGCCTGGCTATTGGGCGTGACCTTTGGTACCGTCTTCATGTGCAACCCGGTCGAGAAGGGATGGAGCCAGCCGCTGAGCTGCGGCCCGACGAGCGCTCTGTGGATTAGCAGTGCTGTTCCCAGCGCGTGCATCGACTTTATCATCTTGGTCTTGCCGTTGCCGAAAATCTGGGCCCTGAAAATGACCCGGGCGCGCAAGGTAGGCGTGACCGGTATATTCGTCCTCGGATACTGGTGAGCCGGCACGAAGGAAACCTCTTTAAACTCTAGGCGTCTGCTGAACATCACCAGTGTTATTATTGCGTCGGTCGGCCGCATGATTACCGCTCTGAAGGCTAGTACCTCCCTTAACTTGGATATAACATGTACGTTCTACTCTGTTGGAAATGTCTGGTCAATAGTATTGACTGTACTTGTACCTGCAGACTCAGTAGTTCGTCTCGGTTACTGGGTGTCGGTCGAGGCTCCCATTACTTTGTTATGCATCTGTCTTCCCGCAATATCATTATTGACCCGGCATCTAAGAAAAAGTCACCCCTTGATTATTATGAGAAATTTCAGGGCATTTTTGAGTTTTGTTAGAGACAGAGAACCCTCCGGACCGAGAAGTCAAATTACAGACGTCACATCGTTGCCCGCAGTCGAACCGCGGCAAACTAGAACACGACCGATGCCCCCTACCTTGTCTACCCCAACCTGAACCAATACACACATTGAGCGGCAAAGTGTTCCATCCTTGGAAAGTGTGGACAGATTATTGCCCCACGGGCATAATCGGTATTTTGCCAACGCCAAGGAAACCACTTCTCAGACGGAAGAATGTGATTCGATCGTGTCGTTTCCAGACACCAGAATTTCTTCCATTCATATCGACAAGACAGTAACCGTACCGCACAGCTCCCGAATATAGCACTCTTATTAAGGGTGCTTGTCTCGAATCATGGGGAGAGTTACCATGATTACGACCTGTATGCTCTCTATGAGAGATGATGCGATTTGAGAGAGAAGTGAAGACAATCTACTTTACCCAAGATTATCTTCAACCTAACAACATCAACTAGGAAAGGGTGTTATTACGCGAATGACCAGCCACTTGGAACTTCTGACGTCAAAGAGTATCCCAGTCTGGGCTGCATTGTGCTGCGACGGAGCACGGGCGTTGCATCCCCGGTGGCTTCGAGAGTATAGACTTACCCTCCGGAATTCTGTTGGAATGAGGGTTAAAAATAAATAAGAAGCGGCACTGGAGGAACATTAGGGCTGAGCGATATTCGGGAAGATTGCACAGGGCGGGGGCATTTGTTCACAGAACTCACCACATGACGCTACGTGATCAATGATGAACGAATTAACTAAATCCAGCTTTAGCGGCCTTGTCGGCACAATATTTTTGATGAATTACGGGGCAGGGACTGGTGCTAGCGGTGTCAGTGGAAGGTGACTGGATGCAGATCTGGGGTCGATCTATGTGCGCACCGAGTTGACTAGTTGCAGCCATCGTTTTATTGCCCAATGGCCCCTGTCGTGTTTCGTTTCCCGAACCTTCTTTTCCAGCTGGTCTAATTACAGCTTCATTGCGGATCCACTCAGCATCGGCTAGCTAGAGCCGTTGACCTTTTGTTGCGTCGCAAAAAAGGGAACGAAGCCATTCCCCGTACCCATTGAACCTTATTCCACACAGCCCCGGAACGAACCAGACCAGAACCGACTATTGACAGTTTGGCACGCGGTGGCTCTAGTCAGTCTCTGGCCCGGCACTTGTTGATGCCTGGTCGGTGCAACTCGATGAAACGTCACCAAAGACGATTGGATTCAAATTCGAACCATTCTAGGAAAGAATAATGTCCATGTCATCCTCGTCTATACCTTTAATCACAAGCGCAGAGGTACATGGCAACATGTTTGAATCTAATCTTCACCATGCTACGTAAGTACATACTGCATCCAAGGCTGGGCGGCTATACACTTGTCAGCTGTCTTGTCAACGGAACAAATTTCGACATGTCAGCCTAGGAAGCAACTTGACGCCACAAAACCAAGTCCCATGTCTAGCACAGGGCTGGTTTCAGGAAAGGCTCCCCCATAACTGAGAACGAAGACCCCAGCCTGTCTCAAGCCAATGGAATGGAGCTCTTCAATATAGCCTGAATTGAGCCATGCTTAGCTCTACTTCAGGTTACCAAGACTGTGCTCCTTGACACTTCGACGAGCAACAGGGGAGCCTCACAGAACCTCTCAACAACCGCTACTAGTCTCTTGACCTGAATGCTGCCAAGTGGAAACGGGCGACGGTCGGGAAAACTCATGAAAGGGTGTGCATCGACTTTTTGACACTATTCACCAAGCTCTCCTAACCGAAAAAGAAATCTACTAGCTTCAAGAAGCTTGGCCCTATTCCACTTTTGTCACCGTGGAATTTTGGCGTCAAGAAAAACGGTGAACAACGGCTGCCTCCATGCCCCAACTACTTCATCTACGGGATATGCTTCAATCGACAAGTTTGAACTTCCGGTACAGGTGTGGTGCTTTAAACTGCCCAATGTAGAGCCACATAATACAGCTTTTAGTAATGAAACCTCATACCATCCACAAATTCCATGTATCTTTGAACTTGTGTCCCTCTCATCCGAGTGTTTGAGTCTGTCAATCATCAATCGAAGTGGAATTTCTCTCTAGACAGGACTTCATAACCGCCAAATAGCCCCTAGACAACGCCGTGCGTAAGAAAACCTCCATACTGCCTCAAATAGGCCTATCTGTGCAGGTCAGTTATGGCAAGCGACGAACCAAGCCAGGATAAGAAGGCACCCAGCAATCAGCTCTCACGGAGGTCTGATCGTTATTGTTTCAGGGGACTCGCCGCGAGCTTCTCTATCCCTATTCCAGTGCTTGTATATCGGGCTGGAGGAAATTTCTGGGTCTTTTCTGCCCTCGCCTTTATTGTATTTTTCCATGGTCCTTTCAAACGATGGCATATTTCCGGACCGATGATCGACGTCCAAGCGCAAACTTCACTCTCACCGCGGTGTAGTCGCGGGATAGGAATCCTAGCTAATTATTGTCACCTCTAACGGTGGCACTAGCCAATGCGGGCACCAAGCATGTAAGTCGACTTGGTCGACGTGGGAAATCTATATCGAGTCTGTTGCGCTGCTACAACGTCCACGAGCTATATAATCCAACAAACGGCTCCAAATTCTCAACATATTTATTCTTTATCAACCGTCACCAATTCATTCTTTAAACAGCACTCACTCATTCCTTCTTTCTGTCTTTTTTTCTCACCAGGCTCAGTGTCTTCTTCTGAACCACCAATCGTTACCAAAATGCGCTACTCCATTGTCTTCGCTGCCTCTCTCGCTGCCCGCGTCTCCGGCCACGGCCTAATCCGATCCATCGAGGGCGCCAATGGAGTTTCCATGCCAGGTTTAACTGGTGAGCCCCTTTTCTTTTGCCACTTTTCAGATTATCCTCCCGTTTCATGCACTAACAGCTGCGAAAAGTTGCCGACGGCACTCCCCGCGACTGTACAAACAATCCCTGTGGCTCGCAAGCGGACACAGCCATTATCCGCGATGTCCAAATCAAACTTGGCAAATGCGGTCCGTTGGGCCAAACCCAAGGGCATGGCAGTGTCAATGCCTCTGCTGTTGTCGCCAACTTCATGGGCACCGGCGGACCGGCTCCCGTCAACAAGCGCCCCGATGGAGCCTTGGGAACCATTGGCGTGGTGCCAAGCGAAGACAATAGCTTTATGACTCCCGAGCAACGCCGCCAAGAGTACAATCGCCAGGCTGCCGAGCTCTTCAAAGGCGAGAGCAATGACGTGGTCAGCCCCATGACGCCTTATGATGGCGCGGGCAAAAGCAAGCCCAAGAACAAGAAGCCTCCCTACGGCGTGGGAAAAGCAAAAGGCAAAGGCAAAGCCAAGGGGAAAGCCAAGGGCGTAAACAAGAAGTCCTCCAAGATTTATCGCAGTGAGACTTTGAATGGCGATATGCGCGGCCAGGGTGCGGAAACTGGGCTTCCCACGTGTAACGACGAGGGCGTCATCAACTTGATCTATCACCAGGTCGGTAGCCCAATTTCCATTCTAAAAGCCATACCAATTCTGGCGCTGACGATTCCCATTCATTTAGATCAATGAAGATGGCGCCGGCCCTCTCGATGCTGCCATCGACTGCACCTCCGGCGGCTCTGATGCCAGCGCGTTCCAGCCGGCATCCGTCATTCGTGACATCCCCGGCTCTGCCGGTATTAGCTCGATAACGAATACTGATCACCCCGTCCAGGTCCAGATGCCCGCGGGCATGACATGTAATGGAGAGGTTGCCGGCGTCAAAGGCGTGTGCATTGTTCGTGTGCGCAATACCGCCGGCGCTGGTCCTTTTGGCGGCAGTGCCGCTTTCACGCAGAGCCAGGAGAGCCGCAAGCGTGCTATTGCCTATCGTCTCCAGAAGCGCATGGAAATTGGCAGCAGCAAGAGCCATTAATGTGGACGGGATAGCATGAGTTGGCAGTCGCCCGCTACGGCCGTCTGGCTTCGTATAGCCATCACTTAGTTGTTCCCTTCGTCGCTTATCTGTACTATTCGAATAAAACTAATTTTAATTAAGGAAGCCGAGACAGAACTAGATGTAGGCCTGCAATATAAATTAAGTTCAGTCATGTTATGTACGCACTCTGATGAGTTGCTTACCTATAGCCCATTAAAAGGTGTCCATGATCTTATCGCCACTAGGGTCGACTGGTATTTCCTGGAAATCTAGTAACCTCGGCGCTTTCAAGCAGATATAGCCTGACTTGTTGTGTTTTATTAAAGGTTCCCTTTTCATGCCCGCCCGAGAAATAGACTGTAACGTCACTCGCTAAAAAGGCCTTTTTTGTACAAGAGGTATGAGAAGAGAAGTGAAAGTGGGTTGGGAAGAAGAATTTGTTCATTCGGCGCTGTGTGCACATCGCATTATAATTTGATACGCATCTATCGCCAGATCAACGTAGCCATATACGTTGGTGTGGAATCACCAAGTCACAGTAGTTCAAATTCCCGGAGAATTACAAATGCAAGGAGTCGGCAGAGACCCTCGTAGCCATGGAGAATATGTAATAGGCTTGTGAGACATCAGTATCGGCCAGCGTTTGGAGACGAGCGTACCGAGACGTACATCTCTTTAGCGATTAGCGAGAGCTACGGTTAGGAAACACAAACTGGAATGTGAAAGGGCACCAGACATCATATGTCGTACGTGTGTCGCAATATCTTAGCTTACAGACGACACAAATTGAGGTCAAGGTTCCCATCTAGCCCTCTAGAATTTCATGTCTGTTATCATTTAGAATATATAGGCATCGAACTACCTAACGACCTGGCATACCTGACTATAATTGTAACTAATTTCCCTAAAACTCATTACAGTAATGTCATATCCAAGTGCCTACATACTGCATAATAAATATACCCATATCTGTAAATACGCTTGTTTTACCGACCACTGCCGGTGAATCTCAGCGCTTCGTTCCCTATCACTCCTGTCTTCACATCGACTCCATTAACCTGACCATTACCTTGGGGAAACATGATTTGGTCGAATTTAGTGACTACAGATTTTACACCACTGGTAAAACCTTTCCCGTCGAAGTCACAATGGCCACCACTTGGAGTGTTGTCCACCGTCTGAAGTGCGTTAATCTGCTGGGTATTCAAGCGTGCTTTCCTAGCCTCGTCTTCATACGCCTTGACCGCCGCAGGAATGGTTTTTTGTAGAGATGAGAGTTCCTTCTGGGATGACTGGGTGTGAATTCGAGTATTAGAAATGGCAGCTTCAGCTTCGGGGGTGAAGTTGACTTGAGGAGGTAAACCGCCGCAGTTTAGTAGAACTCCCGTGTTTGGGAATTGGCCCATATGGGCCGGTATAAAGAAGCCGGAAAGCGTGAGAGCACCACCACTAACGCCGGTGAACCAGACATTTGACTGATTAAATGCGACCATTTTGGGGAGCTCTTGGGTGATAAGATCGGCAACAGCTTTGGAATGAGGGACCCCTTGGGACCTTTGCTGCTTTCCCTGGTTAGCACCACCCCATTTGAGGTTTTTGTCCGGGGCAAGGACTGCAACGCCCATCAGATTGGCATTGACGCCTTCGTTGGGAAAGTCAAAAAACGAGTCGCCCCCATCACCATGAAGCAACACATTCATGCCAATCGTGCCTTCGGTATCCGCAGCACGAGCAGCATTGCCACTCTTCACGCCAGAGGCTGCTTTGAATTGGTCGGCAGGGGCGCTGACTTTATATCTGATATTAAGGCCACTGATTCGTCTTGGTTAGCTGGGTTGCAACTATATTACAAAGCTTCAAGACGCGAGTGCTCTTACTTAATCTTGACGGTTTTATCAAGAATGACGGAACCATCTTGGGCCTTGGAAATGCCTCCCGGTTTCTGGGCCGCCTGTTGCTGCAGTGTTTGTTTTGTATTGCCGCCGCCATTACCGCCGCCATTGCCGCCGCCCTTGCCGCCTTTATTACCACTTTGTTTGCCTTGTTTACGCTGAGGAGCGGCCTCACCAAAGCATATGCAGAGGATTAAGAGAGCACATAGGACCAAGAAGCCAGTTCCTTTTGGTTTGAACATTTTTGAAAGTACCAGTTAAGTGCTGCATGAAATAATAGTATAAAAAATAACAATAGGGAAGATTACCTCTGCATAGAGAGACTTGAACTGCGGGCCAGCCGATACAAGAAGAAGAAGAAAAGACAAGACGAGAATGAGAACTTGCTTTAATTAGGGAAGTAGTTAGATTTTGAGGTACACATGAGCAAGCAACGTGAGTTCCAAACAGTAGCAGAGCTATGGTACCAGGAGTTTCGGATCCGGTTTCACCAAGAGATCAAACGTTGTCTTTACAGCCGAGTATCTAGATGGCCCACAGACAGATGAGGCAAGCCCTACTGTGACGGGCTCCACTTGGTTTAGCAATCGATTGGTCATTATATGTACCGATGTTACCGAGCTCAAGTGCTTGCTAGAAGGAGTAGCCGCTAGTCGATGGGCACCAACCCCTACTACTGACATGTCTTGAGAAGAAGTTGGGATTATTGGGTGCAAGGGCGCGAGCCTCAGGCAAGGCAGAGGTTACAGCCTATAACAAAAAGGCTCGTGGCTCATACAAGCTACATTCTCATGAGTGGCGGCCGGTTTAGTTCTTACATGGATTAACAAGAATGTGCTAATCATAGTCGTCGCGCTTGCCCCTTGCTCAGAAACAGAGCGTCGGGGCTCTTTGGTATCTCTATACCCCTAAGATTGGGACGCGGCACCCAGGTAGCTACGAGAGTGTTTCAGCCCAGCGGAGTTGCCAGCATTGTCAAGGCTGAAGTGTGCTCAACATTGGTCGGGGCATGGCAATCCCAATAGCCACATGTCCTACTACTGACACTTAATATGCTACGCGAAAGCCACCTCTGTGCCCTGTGTCCAAATCTTCAAGTTCCCTCGATCCCTTGCGGCGAAGTTATAATCCCCCTGATAGTCTCTGTCCCCATTTGGCAGCTAGAGATGTTATTCAATGTGAAATTGGTCCTTGATTGGATCCATCGACAGAGAGAATTCAGGCCTTTAATATAGTTGGAAATAGAAAGGCTTCGAAAATGCCACCTTTGCATTGGACAAAAACGCCGTGGCTCGTACGTTTTGCGATCAAGCTTATACCTTGAACCGTATAGTCAAGTTCGATTCTGAGACGCTAATTTGAGCCTTGCAGACAAATTGGTCCTACTGGATAGTCATTTGATAATAGATAGTATGAATAACTTGCTCGTTGGCAGTCTGGATGCCACAAAATCGGTGGGTGACCTGGTAAGACTCAATTGTGCATAGAGAAATGAACAGCGGGGAGAAGCTCAGCCGCGGCGACAAGAGCCTCTGGATGATGGGACCCACAGTCACGTGCCAGGCCAGGCACTACAAAGCCTACTGCTACGCCTGTACACTTTAGCTACCTTTTCTCTCCTTGACACACACAAAAAAGTCTCTCTTTATTAGCTTTATTTAATACATGCTTATTATTTGCACACTTAAGCTCTTGTGACTTCGCTCGCAGACCCCTTCCGTGGTCCCTCACACTGGAACTCGGTTGGGTTGAAAGAGAGCATGCGAATTGCAAAGGCAACACAGATATTATTGTTCAAGTTTCAGAATACCGTTGCCACAGTAATACAACCAGACAACGTTTACCATTGTAAAACTACCATAGGCCATCCCACACTTCCGCACGACACATTCACATGCGACTCCGTATACCCTCCCCAACAACCAGCTATTCTACGTGTTTTCTACGGAAAATGCAGCCCTCCAAACATAGGTCGCGTTCAAGGCGATGTATGGCTTTCCTCATGTCGGCAAATATCCAGCCTCGCCCACACAACCCTGATTTTCGTCCCACATCCTTAGGCACGGCTATCCGCTACTTGCCAGCGTATTGTGCTCTTCATGATGTCGCAGGCCAGAGCCACGCAGCTCTCACAGCGGCTTTACTTGTCTAGTGGCAAAACTGGACAATCGAAGAATGGAACTATCTATCCCGCCATTGTCGCGCAAGGCACCTGCTCCCTTCTGGGCACAGGAGAAGACAGGTGAATTCGGCTTGGGAGACGGGACTCTGCCATCTTGATCTACTAGTCACGTTGATCTGCAACTCACGAGGAGCAAAAAGCCTTTCAAATAGCGTCTTCTTGGACCCCGATGTGGCCTGCAATGTCTATGGAGCTTGCAGTACGATCGATTCGACAGCGTAGTGGATTAAGGAGATGGGATCGGAAGATCACAGCCCCATAGAAGGTGACGTTTGGTGTGCAGCTAGAGGGAATCCTGGTCGTTGGCCATGGCACCTGGGGGAATAAGTTGGCTAGTTGTAGCGCCACGTATGCCATTAGCCAAATCGGATGCGCCGATGTCGGCGCGTTTTCCGTAGCAAGCTGAAGAGGAGAGAAGGAAGGTCATCTCGGTGGCTTCTGGGGGCAATTGGGTTTTAGAATAGTCCAAGTGGCGAGTGTATTTATACATATTTTGCTTAGCCAAGGCCAGTGAACGCTTTACGAGCCCTTGGCGCAATGGCCCCGGGTATATGTAGGAGATCAGCCACTATGTCACTTAAAGTGTCTGGTCTGGGGTGTTGGTGAAACAACCAGCAACCACCCCCCTACTCAACTGAGGTGATGTGCCACCAGCAACGGCCACCCGCTTCTGCAACGATTTTAACTCCGCATTCACTTCGGGCAAGGTGTGAAAGTGGCGGAGACGGGAGACGGACGGCGCCACGTGGTTTGAGAATGGTGAGTCTTGAGTCGTGACAACCCGCCACTGCTCTCCAATACAAACCTGCGTCCCCCTCGCATGCTGCACATGTTCCCTCCTCTCTGCCGGCGATATTGCCATGTTTGGAAGTACGGGCAAACATGGATTCAGACAACGAGGCCGATATCCTGATTCTCACGGCCGTCTTCGGTTTCGCGTCAACCCTCTTTATGGTATTGCGCCTTGCAATACGCAAGATTAAAAAAAGGCCGCTCGACATCAGTGACTACCTGACGCTTATTGCCATCGCATGTGTCCAAGCCCGGACTGCATTGACGACCGTCGTCGTCCTTTGGGGCAACAATAACGACTACCTGTTTGACGAACACCCAGACCCGACCGAAATATACCACCTTGTAGTTGGGAGCAAGCTTACACTGGCCAATAGATTTATATACAACACATAGTAAGTAGCAGACAGCGCTCGGAATAAGCACTCACGGAACATATCCGCCTTGTCTCACCGTACTAATGATATATCGGTTCATAGCCTATGGATACAGAAGGCAGTCGTCCTCCTTTTCTACAGGCGAATATTCTCAGTATTGCCTGCCGCGGCGCGGATAATTGCCATATACTGGATCGTTCTCTGTGCCACGTATCTTGCCGCTCAGGCTGCCTGTGTCCTGGACTGTGTTCCGTTGCGCCTCTATTGGCAGGTTGTGCCAAACCCTGGTAAGCCCTCTGCTTCCACGCTCTGCAAGCTGGGCTCTGGATTGTATCCTGTCTAACGAGATGGAACGACAAAAATAGGCTCCTGCACCAGAGCTCACATTCAACTCTCGACTTTTATCGCCATGAATATCTTCACTGATGTGCTGCTTATTGTATTTCCAGTGCCTTGGATATTGTCACTTCAACATACGACCCTCAAACGGTATGTGTGTCGCAAACTAACTCTTGAGAATTGCGGAATAGTGAGTGGGTTGTGCAGATTCTAATCGTACCAGCCGACTCCAAGTAATTGGACTCTTCTCTATAGGTGTCTTCCTCATCGCTATTGCCCTCGCGCGTTTACCAGTGTACAAAGACGGCACCTCGCAAGACCGGCGACATCTTTGGGGGTCCATTGAGCAGTTTTGCTCCGCACTTGTAGCTAATCTTCCAGTCATTTATAGCCTCCTCAGAAAGACATCCTCCGGACAAATCCCTCCACGGCTGACTGGGGCTGCCTCGCTCGATCGCAGGGGGCTACCGAGGTCGTCGTCGCTATCCTCTTGGGCGTCGGAAGTAGAACTAGGCAGTTGGCCGTCCCCCAATACTACGCTTGACTCCAAAGGCACCTCTACTATTAGAATCGACCATCTTGAACGAGCGGTGATACCCCGTGATCCGCCTTAGTATCGGGAGCGTAACTGTCTTTGTCCTCTGGACAAATAAATATTCGGTGTTGTACGATGTGCTGTGGTGGCATTACATGGGCAGCTCACCACCAATTATGCTAGAATTCGATCAGCGGCCCTCTCTCTCACCAAATCGGACGTCGATAAATCAGCGTACGCGCAAGGAGTCGTTGTGTTCGAACCTGCAGCGGGGAACAGCCTTGATGTGTCAAGCGAGGGACGTACTCTTCAGCAACTCAAAGGTAGTAGCCCTAATTATTTACAAAAAACGGCTCTCCAAAGATGAGCTGTTTGTACAAACCACTAGACGATTATTAACAATCCTACAGTGTCCACTTGGCTCCTCTAGCGAGAGCTCGAGCCGCGCGCCAACACGTCTTGATCTGTCTCGGGATGACGTCAAGCATCTTGACGCGACTTGGACCCAACAGAATCCGGTGACCTGAGCTGCCGTGTATTGCTAAATCATGAGGCTCTAAAGGCACGTTTCGTCAATGAAGTGGTTGTCGGGCTTGACGCCTGGCTTGGAACAGCAGGGCACAGGTCGAGCCGAATTTTGTTTCCAGTTGGGGAGTTTCACAGTCTACTGTCCTTTCTACAATATAGATTATTCGCCAAGTCAATTCTTTGAGACAGACTCAATATAAAGTACTCCGTAGTTGTGTCAGTTTTCAGGGGGCTGTTGTTAGTGCTAGACAACTAGTCTGGGTCTCCTGCCTGCTGGTTCAGAGATAATAGTCCAAGTGTAACTTTGAAACCCGGCCCAGCGCCCGTATTACATTATGCAGTGCAAGGGAATAGGTGAAAATATCGTGACAGAGTACGTGGCACTAAATGCCTCGTTAGCCTTTTCTCACAGATTCATGTACAAGCGACAAGCCTATCCTCCCAATTACGAAACACGCCATCTCCCCATCATTGGCAATTGGCACTTCTGCGTCGTGCCATAAAACGATGCGGTAATTCCGGCCTTTTCTCCGGCACACCAGACTTCTTATGAGGGCACATACTATGCCACCCGAACGCCGACCGTTGTCCACGTAAGGCTACCTCCAATTATACTCTGAGCTTCAGGACTTGCTGATGCCATATACGTGCTATTATTTGCGGCGTGTACAGAGTGGCAGCTATAACTGGCCCGTCGTTAGGTGGTGTTTTCACCAACAGGCTTGTGTGACAAGGGCTCAGTAGAGGGCTTGGAGCAATTTAGCTCAATTCAACTAATAACAGTCTTTGGTATCAAAGGTCCTTGGTTTTCCTCAAGGCCTTGAGGGACCGAAGACGTCTATTTATACAACAAGTCAGTAAGTGACTTTGCCCTAGGTCTCGTGACCGTAGCCCTTATGTAACCAGCCATTTCCGTGTAACACTTGTAAGAGCACGAAAGGTTAACTGGTTTGTTTTGGCGTTGACAAAACCTCACCAACTTGAGTCATGGAGACGGTGCTTTTACATTAACCTCCCTGTTGCAGCCCTCGTTTTCGTCATCATAATATTCTTCTTCAAGAGCCCCGGTATATCGCCTAAGCCCGCTGCAGCGATTTTTTGAGATCCTATCGGTATCCCCGTGTTCGTGCCGGCCATTGTTAGCATTCTGCTCGTACTCCACTTGGGAGGTACTATGTTAGAAGGATGGCAAGATTATGGCATACTGTGGACTTTACGATTCTTACATCACCTTTTATTATTACTTAATAACGGATTGGGGGTGACGTTATGGTCCTTCTGCGGGTCTTGGCGGGTTTGTCTATTGCCAGCGCTGGCTTTATTATGCGAAGAAATACTAAGCGTGACAAGCAAACTAATAATAGAAAGGATTTGGTTAATGAAACTGCCAATCCCGAAGTCCAGTTACGGTAATAAGTGAGACTAAATGGTAAGGTTGGTGACACCTTGGGAATGAATTGCTCGGCGGGCTTACTCTTTTTACTAGGTACGCTCACGCACCTCTAGGTACCTAGATATTAGGCTATATTATAATATATTATTATATATTTTATTATAAGTAAATATATTTTATTATAAATTATTTCTTAAAAATATATAAAAAGAATTTAAATATAATAAATACTTACTTGCTAAGGGGGGTCAGCGTACCTAGCAAAAAAAGTAAGCTCGCCGAGCAATTCACCCTTGGGAGAACCGGAAATAACAGTCAAGCACTACAAAATTTGAGATATAAAAAGAAACCCATACAAACACCTGTTGCAATACGAAAGTTATGTTACACATTTCGCTTAGTAGCCGCCGAAACCATCAAAATTCGTACGTCAATTGCGTTACCATGCCCGCTTTTTCCTACCAGATAAGTTTATTTGTGCTAACACTTAGTAGACGCCGAGGCCGAGGCCATTCGTACGTTGATGATGTCACTGCGCTCGGTTTTTCCTGTTTTATTTGTACTAAGACGAAGTAGGCCTGAACAATGAAGAGCGCAGAGAGGCCTTGAAAGAGGCTTCTAAAGAGGCAGCCAAGAAGACCAAGGAGGATGGGCAAAAAATTACTAGGCTTGAGGAGGAAAAGAAGCGTCTGAGAGACCACATGGGGGACATGGAGAAAATCTATGAGAAAAAAAGCAGCCTTATAAAGCAGCTATTAGATGATCTTGAGGAGGCTAATGGGAGGGCAATTAAGTAGCTTTAGGGTGGTTGGAGTCAGCTTTTAGCTTTTTTTGATGCTTTCTTTATAATTATTTGCTTATAATAAGCTAAATATAATTGTTTTGCTGGGGTTCAAAGTACAATTTACATCATCCTCGACGATACGTTCCATACTATTGAGGCTCTTGGACTCGTAGGAAATCATCGCACCTTGACGTCCTCGGGCCTTTTCACACAGCAGTTGCTATGTCTAACCGCGCTCTACTTACTATTCATCCTCTTGGCATTCGCTCCTAGAAAGTCGTGAATAATGACCTGCAGCCATAATGGCCAGCCTCGAACTGCCGAGGCGATGCCAGAAGATTTGGGAACAACAACTTGTCCACCCTTCCTATCGAAGATCTGGGCCACTGTGTCTTGGGCCACCTGCTCCGGTGTGAGAAACGTTACGCCCGAGCTCTTCAGATGGCCCTTAAAGTCTTCCACTAGCGGCGTGGCCACAAAGTTTGGGTGCACAATAGTGGTCATGACATTTGGCGCGCCGTACACGTGCTTGAGCTCGACTTGAAGCGCTTCATGGAATGCAAGAGCAGATGCTTTGGTAGATCCGTAGTCGGCATGACCTGGAAGCCCTACAAAGGATGCGACACTAGCCATGGTGACAATGTGGCCCTTGTTGGCTTTGATCATGCTGGGCAGGAACTGCTGGACGGTGAGCCAGTGACTCATGGTGTTGATGGCAAAGATCTTCTTAAGCGCCTTCTCTTCAATGTCGAGAATAGACTTTGGCACTGCAATGCCAGCATTGTTCACCAGAATGGTGGGCTCTCCAAAGTCGCCACGTACACCAGCCGCCGCATCGGCGATCGACGCAGCAGACGTGACGTCGCATTTGTAGAAGCGAACGTTGGGGCTGCCTTGAAGTTGCTTGGGCAGAGGTTGGATATCAAAGACGGCGACTTTGACACGTGCGGCAATGAGCTTTTGCACAATAGCAAGACCGATACCGCTGCAACCACCAGTAACAACAGCAATCTCGTTGGGCCAGTCCCAGCCCGGCGCGCCGCCTAATCGCCATGAATTCGCAGCCATGGAAGTGAGCTTCGCGTTCACATAGCGCAGCGTGCCAATGGCGAGGAGCGCTTGGAGGATGGACTTGGCAAGCGTCAAGTCATGGTTGGGCGGAAGCGAGGCCCGGGTAAGGAGATGCTGGATAGTCTCCTGTGGTGCTTTCTCGAGAAAAAGAAGTAAAGCGCCGGGGACGACTGGGTTTAGAAGGCTGCCGGCAACAGTACCGAGGGATTTGCCGATGAAGGAGTCGTGCAGGGAATATAAAAGCGACATTGTGGAAGATGGGCTTGAGAACCAGGGTGCAAGATTTTGTTGCGAAATAAGCAGCGGATTACTTGTCTGTAGAACTGGGGGTGAGACGCACAACAAAGCCGGTTGAATTGGAAATGGAGTCAAATCGGTTCAAGGCAAGCGGGCATGTTGGGGAGATAGATATAGCACCGGGCGTGACCCCATACGGCAGATGCGCACGGTGGGAATCAACAGCTTCCCGGTGCCTCGGCTTCCGGCCGGCAAAGCGGCCTGTCGGGGCATCCCTGAGATGGTCCCCGTTCCGGTCTGCCGCTAGTACAAAACAGGAAGGCATGACGAGCGACGACTTCAGAACATTATACTTTTTGTCTAGGAAGAGTAACAAAATATCCAGCATGTAGAAAATACTGTAATTGGGACTGGACCGTCTATAACTATATTAATGAGATAACACATTTAACTCACGGTTTACCCGACAGCACACGCCATAAGTAAAAAGGATTGTGATCCTTGTTTTCTACAATATAGTTCAACGGTGCATCATAATATAAGGTTTGTCTTCAATCTTTTACTATATCGTAACAGTTCCGACACTCAGATCAGGACAATATCGGGGGAGGTATACATGGCGTTCGCACATGTGATAAGGGTTCAATATAGAAGGCTTGGAGCAAAAGGGTCTCAATTCAATAGTAATCTCGTAGGATGTCAAAGGTCCTGAGTTGCTAAGAGGAAGGAAGGGAAAAGTAACTACTTTATATACATAAAAGGAACGCCGGGGCCTAGGGCTCTTACCCGGGCACCTGTTTTAGCTGTGTAACCAACAGGTTCCTCATCGGTAAAGCCCCTTTGTTGGGTTTCACGATCTGTTGGGCCTTTTCCGTGTAACAGTACATTACACGCTTTTCTCCCCGCGAAGCCAACTCTACGGCGTGGATTTCCTCGAGGGACATCGTGGTATGTCCAGGCCGCCGTATTGCAAACATCAACTTTGCCTTGAGCAAATGCTAGATAGTATCACTTAGGCAGTCGTGGCATTGCGTAATTACGTTACAGGAACTATATAAAAGGGCCCAGGTGCCATTTACTTGCCCTTTACCACCGCGTAAAGCTGGATAAAAACTCGGAGGTCTTTTTATGGTAAAGCAGGTACTTATTGCCCTTGGTAATGAATAGCTGTGGGAAGCCGCTATGAGTAAACAGAAGAGGAGGTAGATAATTAAATAGGAGAGGCGGTAGTAACAGTGGCACTAGTAGTAGTGGCAGTAGCAGCTACGCTGCTATAAGTTAGTGTAGAGGCTGATAGGGTGCTACTAAGTACCTGTTTCTAAAATTTGAGGAAACTAATAAAAGAATTCTAGGTAAAGTCACGTTCTAGTCCAGATACAAATTCCTTAGCTACCCTATTAAAGTATATGCAGAAGGTGCAGAAAACTCTAATTTTAGCATTGTGGGCGGCGGTCTGCTCGTCGGCAAGCTGGTCGGCTGCTTCGGTGATGTCTAGGGGCGACTGACGTTCATGTAAGGCCGAGCTGGCCAAGGTAGGGAATTCGTCGAGCTGCTGTCCTTCCGCAATAAAAGCATTCAATGTTGCTGTTACACGGAAATGGCTGGTTACACAAGGGCTACGGTCACGAGACCTAGGGCAGAAGGCCCTCACTGACTTCTTGTATAAATAGACCAGACGTCTTTGGTCCCTCAAGGCCTTGAGGAAAACCAAGGACCTTTGATACCAAAGATTGTTATTAGATGAATTGAGTAAATGCTCCAAGCCTCTAGCCCTTGTCGCAATTGCGTATCCGATCAAGTGGCGAAGACGGGCGTCTGGGCCAAGCGGCCACGGACTGGTGAGACGCCAATGTCGATGTTACACGGAAATCGCGTTGGTTACACAAGGGCTACGGTCACGGGATGTGGCTCGCATGGCGGGCAGGAGGTGGCCATCGCCATCGCCGTCGCCTCAGCTGCGCAGCGCGCAGAAAATAAAGTTTACGGGTGATATTAAGCAGATGGGTATGACTGAGTGCACTTTCTTAACAGTTGAATGCCAAGAAAATGTGATTACAAGGGAACTTGAAGCTGAGACCGAGACTCTCTGGCTAACTTTGACTGGTCCCGGGTAGGTGTCGGCTTGAAAACAACTTGACATGTTACATTCAACAGAATGACAAATGAGCATCAATACACATGTAGTTGTCTTGCGTCAAAAGGAGAAAATTTATAGACCTACGAAACTCCTTCTAGTAGTGCCGTACCCTCCAGCCATGAGAGAAAATTTATTGGCCAACATGAGCTATTTGGTTATGGAATTGTGACTAGTCTTTACATGTATATAATCCAGGGCATACATTCCTTGAGTGTAAGACCCAGCTCCTGTCACATCCCTCGAACACTTGGTCCGCAGTGTCTTGAGCCGCCTCCAGTGGTACCTTGGCACGGTTGCTCGGTGCTGCCCGAGTTCCAAGCCTGGCAGGGAGGTTGTTGTCCACGCAGAATGTCCCAGCATTTACTCCCAGTGCCCACCTCTGCCGCGGCAACGAGAATGCTAAGCGGGTGATGCCAAGGTTGACTAGACACAAGTATTGCATCCCGAGTGCTTGTATGCTTGCTAGATCTGGTCCTCTGCCTGTTTAGTGGCGACCAGCTCCGAAAGCACTGAGGACAACGGCAACCAAAGCAATCAAGAACGCAATCGACATTTTCTTGCAAAAGTCAATCATATCTGAGATTCCAAAGGAATGTTGCCATGGACACGGAGGCCAGTCTTTGCCAGAACGAGCCGTCAATGGTATAAAGTCCAACACTTTACCACCTGACACAATTCTCGCAGTATTGCCCAAGAGCACATCTCCGCAATGGCCCATGATATACCGGGAGAATATCCAGTGCATAGCCCCATCCAGGGCCTCGAGTCGAGTGACGTAGCGAGCATCTCCATGAACCGCTGTTAGGCGTCTGAACTGTTTACGATTGAATCTTTGCAGCATATTATTCAGCTCGTACTCCGAAGGCTTGTCTGGATGATTGGCCTTTACCAAGGTCCGAAGCTCATTTGTGAGGGCCGCCACCGTTTCAATCGCAGTATTGGCGCCTTGTCCCATGTTGGGAGTCATCTGCTTGAATCAACAACTCAACTCTAATCAAAGGGGAGGGCCAGACCAACCTTGCTGATGCTATCTCCAACACAGACTATTCGTCGGTGGTGCCAATTCGTAAACATGTGCTCTTCCAATGCAACTATGGCAAAGCTGGTTCTTTGTTCCCACACATCGCGGAATTTGATGTCCTTCCACACAGGAAAATCTCCAACCGATTCGCAAACTTTAAAGGCATCATCTTGGGTGAAGCGCGGAATGTTGGGATACTTGTACTTTTGCTTCAATTTGTAGATGACGTTGAAGAAGACGTCGGTACCGGTTGCGGGGAAGAACATGAAGCAAAAGCCTTCATTGTATCGCAGAATGTGTTCCCATCGACCCTGGCCCGGAACCGCTTTACAAACCCCAAAAACGCATGCGAATTCTGCCGACAATTCTACAAAGACGTGTTAATTACAACATGGACAAGACTCAAACTTCAACTCACCCGATTTCTCCGTTTCCGTTATGAATCCAGCCTGCTCCGAATTTCCAATCCGCCACATTTCAGAGCGTACAGCACTGTGAATTCCATCTGCTCCGACAACAAGATCACCCTCGTAGGTTGTCCCGTCTGCAGCTGTGACAGATACATTTGATTTGCCGTGGCTAATCTCGACCACCTTTTTGCTCATGTGGATCCGGGACTTGTCCTCGAATTTTGCGTACAACACTTGGAGAAAATGTTGTCTCGCAATAACACAAAATGGCAAGCCGAATCTATGCCCAAGTTAGTCCGCGACTTGTGTGCTAATAAATATGAAGAGAGAAAAAAAAAGAGAAAAATTCTTGCCTTTCAACTATCTTAACTGGGCTGTCCGTCTCGATACAGTACCCGTCAGGAAGAAACTGGTATATTTTGTGAATGGGTTCATAGATCTCGTCCACCCCAGAGTAGATGCCTAGCTGCTCCAAGATGCGAGAGCCGTTTGGCATCAGGCCAAGAGAAACACCGGGCTCTGCAAATATATTTTCATGTTTCTCAAGAATGACATAATCAATGCCAGCGCGATCGAGACAATGTCCCAATGTCATTCCAGTGATGGAGCATCCTACAATAATCACCTTGAAAGAAGACTTTTCCATCGTTGTCAACTGGATGGTAGTCTAGGGCTAACTAAGGAAAAAAAGTCCAAATTCAACGTGAATGCATACAATGAAGTACAGAAGAGCTCAGGTGTGATTTGGTGTATTTATACAAGGCGGGTCATTCGGCAGACATACAAGCATTCAAAGATTACACGACACAATACAGTCAGCGGCGATAGTCTCACATAAAGCTAGAAACGTACTATGCCTTTTAAACTACATTTATTCGCGGTTTGACTGTACATGCTTCCGTGTACTTGACCCAGAAGCCCAAGAGGGTACTTTACGGGTATTTTGACAAGTAGCTGACTGCAGCCTCAAGTTGAATATTGATTGTCGAGTTGTGGATCATGTTACTCGCACCACGCATCCCCAACGCATACAAGTGTTGGCTTGATGAGGTGGTCTGATGAGGAGAGCAAGAACTCGTGTTCTTGGTGAGCTCTCAGCCAGCAGCATAGACCAAGAGAGAATGTGCCATTCGATAAAGCCACACTGGGCATTTGTAGAAAGCGCGGTGAATCCGGCGCACGCTCCCGTCGATGCCCAGTAAGACCTATTTTGTTGAAAAAACTCAATGAAATACTGGGGGAGCAACCTGGACCCAGCATCTAGCCCCCCACAATAATGTCTTTTTCTCGGCCCAAGCATCCAGTGATTTGATGGGGGAAGAAGATGGAGAGGGCATAGGAATCACTCTCCAAGAGGCCTGGAACCTTAAAAAGTCCAACATCGACCTTGACATATTCCAGCCGTCCCTACAGAGCAAGAGGCTTCAAAACAATACACAATGGCTCAATTGACAAAATCCATATTGTCAATTTATGGTGTTTTAGCGGCCTACAGCCTGGGATACTTCTCCTATCGCAATGGCTTCATCGACTTGGTTTCGGAAGCAAGCCAAGAATGGCTCGACCCCCAGACGCATCTACTGAAGGGACCACCAACGACTGGTATTCCATCTCTTGATAATACCTTAGCAAGCCTGTTGGTTTTCTACACGCCCGTGCTTGATGGGAATTTCCCCGGGCTGAGTCTTTTATTTCTGAATTGTTTTGGAATGATTACGCTATCCCTCGTCTTGGTTGCTCTGGAGTCATTGAGGCAGGGAAACAGAACATTGTGGGCATTCCTATCCGTGCTATTCTTCCTTCCTTTGATGATTCTAAAACCTTGCCATTTAGTTCATTCTTTCTGGGTCCAGCTGTGTGGGGAATGCTTGCGGTTCTGGCGACGCTCGCCATTTCGATACCATGGTATCTCATAATACACCTCGCGATTTCCAGCACAGCGTCTCACCCCACCATTGAGAATCTCTCCGTTCCAGTCCATGAGTTGAAAGCCCTGGTTGTCAACATTATAGTAGGGCTCATTCTGCCAACTCTGGTGGTCTTGTTGCCAGAGGGGATAACTCGGCCGCTATTCACGAGACAGACGGCGATAGCTGTATGGCAGCTGTGGCCAATCTGGAGCACAGCAGTGCATTTCATGGCCAAATGGTTTATTTCCACAAGGCCCGCTAGTAGTCCGAGTCGCGAGTGGGAGAGGACCCGAACTGCATTTCGTTTGGTCTACGGGTTGACAATGGCAGTCGCAATCACCACGCACATCGCATCATGGGCAATTTCGCTCACTGCTGCTTATGCTCTTTCAAACAGCATGGCTGCCGAAACTGTCCAAGCACTTCATCCTACAGCAGTTTTTATGAATACTTGGCCCTGGTCGCCCATCAAGGCCGACTCTGTTGGTCAAGGGCTTCTCTGGATGATACAATGGGATAAGTTTTTCTCCGTCGGGGCCATGTACTTGTGGAGTCTCTCCTTATACAGAGCTGCACATGCAGCTCAAAGCAAGAAGATTGACTGGTATTACTTTGCACTCAAAACAACCGTGTTTTGTATGGTATCTGGCTTTACAGGTGCCACGATAGAGTTACTTTGGGAAAGAGAAGAAATGATTTTGGAGGCTGGGCGAGGTAATGAAAAGAAAAAGTGATGACAGGGTGTCAGCCAATCAAGGTGTTATAAAAGATCAAGGATAATAGCGCTGAAGATGCTAATTAAAAGCACTTGACCTAATTTTACTTTCCCCACTTACCCTTGCACATCTAGTTCGCATAATTACGCCCGGGAGACTTACATGGACCAGGGAATAGATGTGGAGTCCGCAGTGAGCGAATTTGTTGAGAAAACTCAATCAACTGCCGTTGTACAAAGGCTGTAATGATTCCGGAATGCCAGCTGTATGCTTAGCTCAAGAGAATTTAGTAACGAGAGGCTAAATCGAAGCTTTTTTTCCTGCCTTGTTTTCCCTTTTTTTTATTATTTCTTCGGGGCTAGCACCCGAACCCCCGGTCATCACTTTGTTCGAGCATAGGCTATATTAATTGTCTATTTCTAAAGATGTAATCTATCTCTTGGTCCCGGGAAAGTGCAGAATATATGGGCTTAAATAGTTAAAAATGAAATGGTGAAGTTCCCCAGATAATACACAATCCAGTCGCTCAACCCGTCATACCACTACATAAGAAAGACCCAAGAAATGCTCTCGGAAGTTCAGGTTCAAAACCGCCTTCTGAAGCGTCAACCCCTGAATTTTATATCCCCATTGTTCAGCCCGGACGAAACCCGTGACAGGCTGGATTGGCAGAATTGATGGGCTACGGCTGAACTTCAGGCAGGACTTGACGTTGGAGCGGTTAAAGGGGATTAGGAGGGACCACCACTCAGTACTCCAAGGAGGAGCAAATTGGATGACCGGCCAGAGTATGAATTGTAATCTGAGAAATCTATGGGAAATAAGTACAGGTGACAGATTTCATACAATTTGATGGATCAGCAACAGCTGCTTGCAATCGCAAGAGAGAGACAGCTACTGGCAAGTCCCTGGTCTTAGGGTATAGATAAGATCTCTACTGCCAATTCATGCGCTTTTCAAAAATACAATGGCAACTTTACTATGCCACTTCACCTGGAAAAAACGATACTCGGTAGTATACTTTGAAGCACAGATAATAGTACGATAACGCGTATAATACTTAAGCAGGTCTGTAAAGAGCCGACGCTGGGCCAGCCTACTGGCTATCCAGCGGCAGGCACTTCTCCAGGTATATACGGATACCACCGCTGGGCGATATGGTGACACTCTGGTCATACTCGATTTTGTAGTCTGGATCTTCCAGCTTAAACCTAAACGAGCCGACAAACGCCGCGGTCAATATTGCGAGCTCGGCGCGTGCAAAACCGCCGGCAATGCAGCCGTGCGGGCCTTGTGAGAAGGTCATTAGCGCGTACGGGCTCGCGGCGCCGCCCGAATTGGCCTGCCCGGGTGCCATCCAGCGATCTGGGTTGAAGTCGCCGGCGTCTGGTCCCCAGAGCTTGGGGTCGTAGTTGACGGCCTGCGGAGCGATGAGGAGGTTGGTGCCGCGGGGGATGAACTCGCCTTGGATGTAGCCGTCGGCATAGTCGGAGACGCGGAGGGTTTGCGGTGCCGGCGGAAAGCACCGCAAGACCTCGCTGCATACCGCCTTGAGGTACGGTAGCGCATCGATCATGGCGGCCGTTGGTGTTGTGGCTCCTTGGCTGCCCTGGTCTTGATCAGGAAAGCAGGACACGGGAAGGCCAGCGTGTATCTCGGCACGCAGCCGCTCCTGCACATGCGGGTGGCGGCTCAGGGCGAGCATCACCCATTGAAAACTGGTCGACGTGGTCTCATGGCCGGCGGCCAAGAAACTCATTACCTGATCGACCATGTTGTCGTTGCTGAAGGCGTCGTCGCTTCGGAGCACCTGCGAAATGATGTCAACACTCTTGACTTCCGGCTGCGAGCGAAGTTGAAGACGCTTCTTCTCGATGATGCCAGTCGTAATTCTACGGACATATTGCGAGTTGGCTGTGAGGATGTCGTTGTACTCGGAAGGCAACCGCGAGATAATGCGCGGACTAATAAAATTGTCGATCTGAGCAAAGTATTTGAAGTTCTTGGGGAGCGGTAGAAAGAGGTTGCTGTACGCAAGCGCGAGGTCGTTGTCTGGATTCCGCAGCGACTGGAAATCGCAGCCCATTCCCGTCACGCCGATGATGTCCAACGTAACCCGGCTGGCCCAGTCCTTCATGTTGATCACCTTGTTGTTGGGCTTGCCATCTGGCCCGGTAATCTCCTTGTCTAGACAAGACACAAGCTCGGCGGCCTTGAGCCAAATAGATGGGTAGAGCTCTTTGATATGGCGGTAGGAAAACGCCGGCATCAGGTGCTTGCGTTGTCGCTGGGGCGCACAATATCAGCTTTGAAAGAGGGCAGCACCATCCCATAAGACGGGGTCTACTCACACGATGCTCTTCTCCCTCTGAGCAGGCGAGCCCCTCGCCAATAAGGCGGGAGACGTTGTACTTGAGCTGGAAAGTCTTGGTGAATACATAGGGGTTCTGCACAAGCACCTCCCCAAAGGCTTTGGGTTCGGTTAGCAACAAGCGTTCTTGGCATAGGAAGTCGTAAACTCTAATCACTCCATCATTTGGAACCGTCTCGTTGATCCTTCTAAGCGTCATGCCTATAGGCTCAGCGAAGTGGGGAGGGCAGTTTCCCCAAAGCCATGAGCGTTCCTTGTAACAGTGTAATCCATTAGTATAGCTAGCGGAGTTATTTCTCTATGGCACGGCGGGTTATTGCCTACCTTTGGGGTTGGAATATGACGGAAGCGACTAAAGTATTCGGGGTACAGGAATATGGAGTAGAAGACGCGCAGAATACAGAGCACAGTGAGCCACATCATCATTGTCATGATGCGTGAACCGAATATGCCCACGCTGAGATATTTGGTGAGAAGGAACGGAATAGCCACGTTGTAGACCAGGAACCGGGACGGTGCTCCCAGCGCTCCGAACATGGTGAACCATCTGCTTGCCATGAGTGATGCCTCGAATACTGTCTCCCTGGATACACCCCCCAACAAGAGAAAAGCGCCGTTGATTTGTATCGCTGGCGTTGATGACCAATATATCTGGGCCGCCGCCGTATCGAGAGCGGCTGTCAACTGTCTGATTATTAAGTCGCCGCTCACACTGTGTAACTTGGATGGAATATCCCGGTACAACTTGGCGACACAGCGACAACTAAGAATAGTGCGGGAGATAGAGACTGGTAACGAACGCTATGAAAGAATGGAGGTGTTTGGAGCGCCAATGAATAATTTGGCCAAGTCGGACAGACTGCTGGTTCAGTCTGCCTAAACCAGAGGGAGCAAACGGGAAAGACTAAAGCGTTCAGGGTCAACGATTAGACTTAGGAGCCTGCTCCTTGTCGATGCCGCTGCATTTTATAAAAATGTCCCAGGCTTCACAGAGCTTATTTCTTGGACCCACCACGCGACTTGATGAGGCGGTGGTTGTGGAATTTATGATCTGGCTGCGTGTGTAACGTTCTATGGCCTGGCATCACATTGACCGCCAAACACTCAACACGAGGCTTGCTGTAGCCGAGACATGACCAATGAAGCAGCATAGTGACGGTGGTGGCTATCTCTCCTCTTCCAACAACCGTTTCACGTCCACACGGAAACTACGACCCATGGCATATAATAACTTGGTGCGTCCGTCAAAGTGTGCGATGAGCTTCTCCGGAGCCATGACGGGAAGTGGGCGGTTTTCAGGGCGGACTTTGCCCGGCCCGTACAGGACACAGGACAAGTTTTCCCATGTTGGCATCAGCAGGCCAAGCACGGAAAGACCTCATCATTCGGAAGTATCTGCATCATGATTATATACACTCGGCGTCTGTGGCGTCTGTATCAACCCGTATAAGCTCGTAGTAGGCCACATCCGTGGCAATGAAATGACAAAGGCAGTATGACGATTTACGCGGTTGATGGTGGCGCCTCCGTGGACCAATGGTGCGCAAGAACAATATAATTACACACTAGACAATCTATACAATCCCGTATCACGTACTGTACTGCGAGTATCTGCATTAAAGGCCAAACAAGAAGGAGAAAATACGACAAGAACAGAAGAGCTCCAGAACTGGACGCACTTCATCCCGCTTGGTAACATGTTACGTAGTTGAAAGATTTCATTGATGTTTTTCAACAAATTAGCGCAACTGGCCTGGTTGACGCAAATCCACCCGCGAGTGGATTTACGGGGGAGCCCTCGCATTATACGATGCGAATCTCTGCATGGCGATGCAAAGTTGTGATTACGCTACAAATGAGAGAATTATTCCCGTTGGTCGCGTGGCCTGATGCTCAATCCATCTTGTGCGACTTGGGGCACATGACATGGATCGATGGAGATTTCTCCGCGTACACGGGATATGGAGACGAATGACAACTGGCCTCGGAGCCTGAGGCTATTATAGTATACTGTCTGCTGGTCCAATGTACAACCGCGTGGTAGGTGCTGGATGACAGAAACGGCCAAGTTTCCTTCGCCACGCAACGCTACCTATATGCCGTCCTTGAATGTATTCATGATGGCCTCTATTCTCCCCCAGCGCCGTCTCGTGGTGGAGGCGGAAAGCCAGTAGTTTCCTGCCAAGTCTCTGCCAAGAATAATGAGCACGTTGGAAAGAATGGCGCCGTGGAAGCAGCACTGCACATAACATGGTCGCCCTCGCTCAGTAGGGGGACGCGTCGTGTCAAGGCGGGATGGGACAATGGCGGCGGAAAAGTCAAGGTCAAACACTCTCGCCTGGGTCCAGTTTGTGCAAGTGACGACGTGCATGTTGGCGCTACCAAACAGCGGAGGCAGTTTAGCAAAGCATTTCCGCCATATGGATGCGTATGCTTCAATCTGCTCTCGCCGGCGCGACTCGACGATGCATTGACGGATTTGCAACGCTACAAAGCCGAGTGGCTTGCTCAAAATGTCCCTTGCCGGCATCAACAAATGGGCAAAGCCAACGGCATTACAAAGATATGGCCTGTTGGGGGGCAGCAAGGTAGGGCGCCATCCGAGTGCGTTGGTCAGGTTGACGGGTTTGCTCGAATCTGCTGCCAAGTGCGCGGTATTCAGCTGCGCCCACCAGGCGAAGAGGACATCGCCTTCTGATACAAACGGCTTCTCGGGGCCTTTACTAGCGGCCGATAGTCCATCGAGCGCCTCCTCACGAACCGTCTGTAGATAGCGAGCCGGAACACAGATGATGCGGCTTTGCTGCCGGTATAGGAAAATCTCCACCAAGGTTCGAATGCTAATCAGGAGCAGGGAAACCCCCAGTAGCTGGAGCTGGTGGAGTTTGTGCAACTCGGTCGGTTGACGACCCAGATCGGTCAAGGGGTTCTCTTGGACGGGATACGGCTTCTCGACGTTGTCTGACCGGTCCTGCAGTGTCAATGACCACGCGCGCAGCATCTCACCCATGCCCATGAAGTCGAACAAGGTATGGGACCAAACCAGTGTCATGACGGTCGAGTCGTCAAATGAGACGATCACCAGGCTGAGCTGCGGCTCGTCCCTTTCCAGATAGTGGCTCATCTTTGTTGGGATGTCGGGGTTGTCCCACAGGCTGCGGAACTTGTTTGGGTCCATCATGACGGTTGGCTGTGTCTTCATCCGTGGCAATTGTGATGCAATGGGGTGCTCTGCCCTACCCATGGCATGTTGGGATTGATACAACTTGAAAGCTGGACGGCTTTCGGTGAATTCGACGGGGATGTGATGCTCGAGACCCCCGGTCTGTTTCTAAGGACAGCTAGTAAGACCATGGCTCGGAGGGCACCAATCTCAACAAGAAGGACTTACATTGCGTCTCAATCTTGCCCCAATTTTGTGCCATCCCTCTTGCTTCAGCAAGCTGTTCAGACTAGTGCACAGTTTGGAAACATCGAGGACGTCGTTGAAGAGAAACATGCAGTATAGGATGGAGTTGCGGACGACGACGTCGTCAAATTCCCCCAGAGCGAAAACCTTGTCAGTCGCCATGCTGGCGTCTTGACCACAAACATTTATGGCTCGGATAGCCGTCAAGTTGAGTCAGGCGTTGGAGGCCAAGGCGGCCCTGAGAAATGCAGAGGAGCATTCTGATGCTGATTGTTATATAGTACCAGGCCAAGCAAGTTGTTGTTGTTGTTGTAGTAACATGCCAACTGTTACGAGTTGTGTCAACCGGCGTCTGACTCATGTTGACCCTTTCTTGGCAGGTCGCCTGATGAGGGGGTTCATGGAGAAAAGTCAACGAAATCAACATGAAGTGGGGGTCGTGGTTGTCCACGCCTTTCATCTATCAGTAAATGTAAGCAGGATTCAATTGCTCAGTCTTGACACCCTTGCTAGTGTCAATATAAAGTGCCGCGTCTCGTCGGATTCGCCATCATGCCATCGTGGCCGGGCAAGTACGCATTGGCTCCAACATACAACACATAACATATAAGTAGCCGAGTTCAATATCAGTCATGTTGGCATTCGCCGCTAATTTCTATTCATTGCCAACACAATAACTTTGACCCTGGTAATCGCGACGGCAAGAGCCATCTAGTGGTTGCAATCTCTCGTACATACCAAGCCATAGTTTCCCACGTCCACTATTTGGCTCCCGCCCATCTCATCACCATGGCCTTAATTTACGCTGGCGTTGCTCTTGTCCTTCTACTTGCCTATTTTTATAATGCGCAGTCCAAGTTGCCGCCCGGTCCCTCCGCAATACAGCTTCTGGCAAGCATGCTTCTGTCTAGGAACTATATCTGGAAGCAGTTTCAACAGTGGCACAAGAACTATGGCCCCGTCATTTGCCTCAGGATTGGTCAGGTAACCATCATCAGCATCGGAGATCGGAAAGCAGCACATGCCATACTCAACAGGAGAAGTCCGATATATAGCTCTCGCCCCCGGATGGTGGTGGCTGGAGAGTGCATTACCAAAGGCCTGGCTCCGGTCTTGGCTCCATATGGACCCCAGTGGATTCAATTTCACAAGATACACACGACGCTTCTGAACGCAAGACGATGCCGGTTGTATCGCCCCCTTCAAGAGCTGGAAAGTCGTCACCTTCTTTTCAACTTGCTGTCAAGCAATGATTTCCAAACAGAGTTTCACCGCTACGCCTCCAGTTTGATGTACTCGTTGGTCTACGGCAAGCGATTTGTCTCTGCCGACGACCCGGAACTCAAGGAGATTCGACACATGGTTGATGTTACTTCGCAGGCTATATCGTTTGGCACTTGGATCGTCGACATATTCCCTATTTTCAATTGCCTACCACGATCCCTCGCCAAGTGGAAGCGTGTGGGAGATGACATTCACAATAGGCAGACTGAGCTTTTCCAGCAAAACACCACGGCCGCTCTGAATAGACCTTCGTGGAACCTGACCAAACATTGCATGCTCGAGCCGCCCGTGCCCGTCTCCCCCAAGGAGTACATGTTTGTATTGGCAGAGTTTATAGAAGGTGGGAGTGATACAACCGCTGCGGCCCTCATGGTTTCAATGCTTGCTTGTGTAACTCGCCCGGCTGCCATGCACATGGCGCAGGAAGAGCTGGACAAGGTTGTTGGTGATGATCGCTTGCCAAGCTTTGACGACCTTCCCAATCTCCCGTACATGACAGCCTTTGTCGAAGAAGTCCTCCGTTGGCGGTCACTCACACCCGCCGGAGTTGCCCATGCTCCGATACGGGACGATACCTACAATGGATACTCTATACCAAAAGGAACCTGTATCATAGCGAACCATTGGTCGCTGGACATGGATGACGATGCCTTTGCCAACCCACAAAGTTTTGTGCCCGAAAGATGGATAGACAACCCCAAATTACAGGGACACTCGGCATTTGGTTTTGGCAAACGATCTTGTCCTGGTCAGCACCTCGCCCGGGCCTCTCTCTTGCTGGGCTTATCTCGATTGTTCTGGGCTTATGATATTACATGGAAACAAGATCAAGGGTGCTCTCCAGAAGCTGTAAATATGATTAACGGCGCTGTTTCGAGGCCAGCCTCCTTTGAGGCTGTATTCACCATTCGCAGTCCGGCTCGTAGGAGGGTAGTAGAAGAACAGTTACCTACCGAGACCGAGCTAGAACCGGTATTGGACTCAATCCACCAATCCATCTGCCACGAATGAGAACCCAGGAATAGAGTTAAATGTGGCATTAGTCCTTGATCGGAGCTATCTGTCGAGCTGTTGGAGGACTCTTTTACAGTTTATGATGAACTTGAATAGCTAGCATTGTCAGGGCGCTCTATAAGGCTTCTAACCACCACAAATCTCCATTGAAGCAGCTTGTGTAGCAGCTAGCGATTCAGATGCGGTGTTTTTTTCGACGATTTATCCGTTGACGCCACTATTATCAATAATGCGCCCACCATGTGTAATAGACATGGTTGAAAGAGTAGTATCAATAAATTTGGTTGCAAGACCTTCCTCGCAGAGAGCTGAAACAGGCTGAGAATAAAACAGATTATAATTTAAAATATCTAAATACTACGGGAATTTAACTAAATACTATATATATAAAGTTGCTCCTTACTTTAGTTGATTACCCCTTTGACGCTATATTGCCAACTTATTAGCTATATATATTTCTCTCTACAAAAGTGTAATTATTAAATCTATTCACACTTATTTGTTAAGTTTATTAAAGAAAAGGCTTTATTTTTTTAATAGCATAAGTCCTCCGTAATATTTTATTACCACGCTCCAAATAGTAAGTGCTCGCAGCCAAGTTGGATATATTACAGGACGGGACGAAATCTTTAGCGCCGTACGCTTTTTCTCTTAAGGGCTTTAAGGAAAACTAAGAACCTTTAATATTAAAGTAAAGTATTAGCTGAATACGAATATTGTTCTAAGCCCCTAAATACTAGGCCCTTGTCACAAAAATCCCTTGGCTAGTAGTACGCCTTAAACCTACTCTAGGGCGCCGATAGGCGATGCCGAATCCAATTCAATTCAATTCAATTCGAGTCTCGGTCTTCCACTCTCCTATGTAAAAAGTTTTTCCTCGCAGGGTGCTATTAGCAGCCCGATAGTAGGGTGAGGATTCACTGGTCGCGGAGGTTTTTTTCTTGCCGCTGCTCCCGCGCTCTGTCCTGCAGGTCAAGTGGAGGTCAACTGCATCCGGAAACCGTGCATGCGTTGTTCCATTGACGGCAGCAACCCTACTTGCCAGTCGTGGTAGGTGGCGTCCTCCCACTGCGGACGGAAAATACATGTACAAGCAATCAATCAATCAATCAATCGCAATCTCGGTCTTGGTTGGCCCAACACACTCCTGGGCGCGATTGGACCCACTTCTCTGGTTATGGCGTCGACTCGTAGTCCTTGTATTATCATCGCGGACTGTAGACATAATCCTCTTTGAGTGGTACCCAAGTGTGTGTTCTCGGTAACCACCGGACAACGTCTAGGCTAGTTCCACCGATACACTCGAGCTGAAACATGGATTATTCGCCGTGATATTGTGTCACCGTATTTTGACACCTGGCCAAGACTTGATAGGCTTCTTGTTTTCCCGTGCCCCCTGTTAATGCCAGCAGCTTGTAGTAAAGCCTGGTAGGACCTCCACCAACCCGGAGGTAATTCGTACGACAGAGACATGGAGCGACTGGGTATACTAATATCAAATCCAAGTTCAGATCATTGTCATATTACATTATTTGCTAAATAACTCAATTAACGGATAATAGCTCACAAGTACCTTACCAATCAATTCAATTTAATCAACCCGACCAAATTTATCAATATCTGCAAAGCTTGTAGCAGATTTTCTTAAATAGCTGCTGTAGAACCACCTTGACAGCCTTTCCTATTCCTTCCATGTTCCTTCAAATTCCATAGCCGCCACAGCCAACCGGTCGACCATTCCGTCCGACCCGTCAGACACAATAATCAGCCTTGATGGGCTAGATCAACAAGAGCAACAGCGACGAACCTGCCAGGCGGTATCTGCAGGACGACTTTACAATCAAGAAATCTCGCCTTTCAGCATCTGCAAGAGCTCTGCCAAGCGAGCACGTAATATCATGAACACCAGCAACAGCTAGCTTGATATCAAAGCCAGCACCAGAAGGTGCAGTTATCGCCTGATCGATCGAGACTGTTTCAGATACCGGGTACGATAAGCTTAGTATCGGGCCGAATAGGGCGGCCGTCAAATCTAACCGCCTCGGCCGACCCCGGTCCGAAGATTCCAACAGCCCGACTACGAGCTTCTGTCCCCTCTACCCGAAAAAGTCTACCATCACAGCTCTGACAACTACGTAGCAGCAGTTTCAAGACTTAGCGGTGAGCAGCTGCTGCTTTCGAATAACACAGACTTGTTATCGGCTGCTGTTCTGACGTGGGCTGCTGTGAGAGCTCTGGGTATTCTTTCAACATTATCGTCACGTTATGAGATTTGCTATGAACTAGTGTTCTCTGTTGAGTGATTGGTTATTGTTCTCTCTAATTTCTAAAAGGGCTTATGTATGTTATTCGTCTCCCGTAAAAAGACTTCTTAGCTAATTACCTGATAGAGTCAGGACGGCTGGCTAGACCTTTAAACTGCTGATATCAATGGTTTTGTAACATCCAGAAATTACGACGAGTCTGGTTGTTCAAGGAGAAGAGGTAGCTTTATCTGAAGATTGTGGCTTTCGTATCCGTGGTTCAGGAACAAGCTCTGTGCGATTGGATTGACCTTGTTTAAAATGTCAAGCAAACCCGTCCTGGAGTTTTTTATAGCCCGCTCTATATCCTTGATTATCTTGGCGGTGACGGCGGTATTCTTCCTATGATTCTGGTTTAGTAAAAGTCTCTAGTATAGGTATAGGCGCGAAAAGAGGGGAAAGCACTATACATTATTCCTGCAAACTTTGATGAGCATAGAATCAAAATACTAGGCCCAAGAGGTTCTACTAGCATCCACCATCTCTTTCCATACCGTTTCCTATCGTGAAATTTAGCTCGCATTTCAGATTTTCTTTGAGAGTTGGCAGAAGCCCATTCTGGATATGTGTTACTAATAATATCATCAATCAAGCAACTAATACCCCCTCTTCCCACCCCTGTAATTGGCTTCTCACTGGTGCTTGTGCGGCTTTTCCACGTGAGGCAAGCCTTTTCATACTCCAGGTGAAGCATAACCATGGCCATTCTGCTTCTGATAGCATCATCTCCCATTTGTCTGTCTAACCGGCATATATTCCAATATGCCTTTTGCAAGCTTTCGTAGCCGTGCGCGCCCTTTGCTTTGCTCGGAGGCCAGACTGTACGCCAAATACCATGTTTAACCCAGCGTGGCAAGTTTGTTTCTAAAAATTCGACATAGTCGGCTCGAATACATACGCGTAGTGCATAGTTGACTTTGAGCAAAGCTGCATCAGAGGCACTAGGTGTACCCTTGACTGAATCGTATAGTGTGTTGCTAACAGGAGAATGTGTGTCGCCAACAAGGCAACCTTCGGGTGAGTCGAAGTCGGATATTGGAGTGTCTCCAGAGGTGGATAGGGCGTCATTGTTTTCAGCACGCGGAGCCCGCGGCTCAACATTTCCGACAGTTCCGGAAGTTTGTAGGGAGCTGTCAAATTCCACAAAGATGGAATCCCCAGGAGGACCGGCAGAGCTGAGAGACCGGGTATTTTGCATGATGTGTGTCATCTCAGTGGGTTGATTGTGGCAAGATGTGCCCATACCCCCCCCCGTCAAGTACGCACAGCCATCAAAGTCGATCAAATCAAAGTCTGGTAATGGCAATGTGCAGTCCCCCGATGAATCCTTACTAGAGGCTATTAACTGATATTAGAACAAGTTGCAAGTGCGGTTCATGCTGTCCCCTGTTGGTGTAACGGGCCCTTACAATCAGTCGTTTCATGCACTGCGTGACCGGTATCTGCTAACCCTAGGCCGGCGTTGTGTGCCTAGAAACAAAGCATCCTGGTTACTTCCACTCTGGAGACGACGGTAGTATCGGGGCCGGGTCCAAACCTGGGACAAGTCAACATTAGTGGTGGCCAGGGAATTTCGCGTGCCGAGCCCCAGCCCAGTCCCATATCTAGGGATCTGGGCATAAACGATAGCATTCTCGTGGCTATTAGCCTCGTAATCAACCAGTATATTGTTCGTCATGGCGGGAGTCGTAAGCCCTGGTTTGTATGGATCCGTGTTTGTGGTTCCGCTATTTAAAGCTGAAACAAGGGTGGAGCAGTTGTCTTGGAATACTCCCACATCAAAGCCGGTCGATTCGGTCGATTTCCATCTGCCTTTACTGTAAATGGAGTTAATTCACGTAAGTGAGTTAGTCATTCAGGGGCGGGAGTTGGCTATTCCCAATATCGAGGCTTACATTGGGGATTGCTCATGCTCAAGGACCAGTACTGGTTTGACCGAGATGATATCTCCTTCGACTACTGACCGGTATTGAATTCTGAACGGACTGAGCCGGCTGGCGAGAGTATCGAGAGCGGTGACATCACCTTCGTCAAGAAGCGACCTCGTTGCCTCGATGAAGTAATATGCATTGTCTAAAATCGGCGGAGAAGTGGACAAGGACTCGTTTTGCGCAGAGCATTCCATACTGAGCATCGAGTGTGGGCCTATTCGTTAAGTGTCAACGGGTTAGCTGGCGCTGCCGTATATACATTTGCAAGTTATGTCTGGGGGATAGCACCTTGAATATATATTTGTTAACGTGACTAATCACGGCATATGTTTTATATACCCCAAGGCCAGGATAAGCATATCTACCGCACAGGCTATGCCGGAAATTAAAGTTTAGCTAGCAATGCGAGTTAAACTCCGTATAGGAATGAATAATCCCTCAAGGTACACTCGCCCTGTAAAGCCAGACGTGTAAGAGCAGATATGCGAAGTATTCGGGACCAGTCGTAAGTTGGTGGGACTTTTACGAGGGGTCTTTTAGCTGTACAGGAGACATGTATGCGGAAGGTCGGAAAGTAACATCATATCATTCTATGCCCAGCTGCTACAAAGAGCCAAGAGACGCCATGCAACCCTTGCCAGGTAAGGCTTGTAGTCTGACTCATACACTTAGTCTCGGGCTGTGTTTGCCATGTACACTGCCACGACTATATCGAAGAAATGTCTGGATAGTGTTTGGCTAAGGAGATGCAAAGGGCTAATTGTGTCAACCTTGAAAACCACAACCGTCCGCGCGAAGACGGATGATGGGAATCAATTTCTGAGTGCCCGAGAAGCGCACAGGCACGACAACTGGGCAAGTTTACCATGACTAGTTGGATCGGCAAGGCCTCTGACACGGTAGATTCCGGACCAAACGGAAGAAGACTCTATTTTGGCCGCTAAAAGCCGGGGTTGAGGAGAACTTGCGCAACAAGGATCAAATGACGCGTTGCCTGTAGTGTGTGTGCTTGGTATTGATCTCTGCCGACGATTCGGAGATATGGCAGTTTCTGCAATGCCGGGACACAGGGCTGGGATGATTCCATCATGGCAGTTGCATTATACCGTGATGAGGGTTTCTGTACAGTCGTATCGCACGTTGCACTGATCCACTGGTCCTGGCCGCCGGATTTGATCGGTGCAATAGCCACCGGTCAATCGGCCATGTGCCAACAATGAACCACTTGGCCCGAACCAACGAGCGTGTTTGCCGAACAATATTACCACGGCCCTAATTGCAAGGTTGCTTAGCCCACAGCCAAGCTATGACGACGGTGGTGAAATTGGCAGACTGCTCGACTGCAACTTACTAGCAGGGAGGGCAAAAGTCCCGAGGGCCGACGAGGTGGCAGGTCCCGCCGCTTTATGACTTTGTGGTGTAAGCGATGTGTGTCTATTCGTGCGTAAATTGACGGCCCGACCTCTGGGCGACGGCATTGACCGGAAGACTGCCTGGCGCGGACCCTTATTTATGCCGACAGCCCATTGAATCTTGGCAACCTACTTGTCAACTGAGACTGGCAGTAGTGTGCCCGCTGTCAAACATGAAACGGCACGCATCACCGGCGGGGGCCGGTCTGCGCCTCTCATAAACAGCCAGGCGTCTGCGGTCTTGGCCGCATCTCTCTCGCATGAGTTTGCGGTGTGAGGATAGCAACTGCCTAGCTCGGCCCGGGGTGGCCGCAGGACCCGGTTTAAGGCGGTGTGCCGGCGCAGCGTGCTGATCTTGCCTCTTTAAGACACAGTCACGTGGTCTCGTTTAGTTGCGGCCTGCTATACCTAGGTAGTAATGCTATTAGCGTTCGTAAGGCCATGGTAGTATTTGGGGAGTTTTCATACCAGAATCATGCCAACGAGACTGTTTCCAGGACGGGAAACACTTGCACTCGCCCAGGCCTGTAGAGCCGCAAAGAACAAAAAGGCTGCTGGACCGGTGTAAATCGACCAGTAAGCTCCTTACCCGCGACAAGGGGCATCCTAGAATTGCAGGCCCCGGACCGCGGGTGCCGTACAACACAGTTCGCCTTCTCCTTTTGTATCTTGACCAAGGCGTTGTATCAATAGGTGCAGAGATTCGCATTGTATATGCTAGGGTGCCCTGCTTGTGTGTCAATCCACTCACGAGCAGCCCTAGCCACGGCGCACCCCTGCAAGACTAATAAAGTCTAATACAACGAACCAGAATTTTATACGAACATTTCACATCACATCGAAACGTGGGCCACTCGCCGGCCATTACTTCATGTGCTGGCACCATAGTTTCCCGTGACTTATACTCCGTCCAGCAAGAAAACTCCAAGACAGACTTCTTCCGCCTGGCAGTGCTCTCCATGCTGATTCTGCAAACTCTCCCAGTTCCAGTCTCTCTCTACTCCCATATCTGATCACGCTCTGTCATCAGATAAAATGTTCAGGAGGTAAGTCTGATCATGGCATGTACCTTTTTGCGCTTTCTATGTCACGACTGCCCCAATCAGACTTGATTCCGCTTAACCGAGCTGACTGGTGTCGGTAGCGGCATTTCCTTGCTTACGCGGGCGTCTCGCCCTGCCGCCTCAGCAATCAGTTCGCGACTTGCTATTCAATCTGCTGCTCTCCGGTATCCTGGCGGCGCTAGATTTGCTAGCTCTGGTAGCGTCGGTGCGGGAAAGATTCACCAAGTACGTAGGCTTCGCGTCATTGCCGGTTGGGGAGGCTTTTGTCTTGAGACTGACAACAACTTGTTCTAGGTGATTGGTGCTGTCGTTGATGGTACGCCACCTACCTTTTTCACGAGCATTGCCGGCCTGTCATTATACGAACCATATTTTGACTGACTGTTTTCTAGTCAAGTTCGATACCCCCAAACTGCCTGCTATTCTGAACTCTCTCGAGGTCGACAACCACGGGAGCAAGCTCGTTCTTGAGGTCTCGGTATATTATGCCCCCAAGCACTAATAACTTTGACTGGACTTCGTTGTCTGACGAGGGCACATAGCAACATCTCGGTGAGAATGTTGTGCGTTGCATTGCCATGGATGGTACGCCCGTTTGTTCTTTCTCAGCTTTACTCCAAACCATGTTACTAATACGGTGTACAGGCACTGAAGGTCTCGTCCGAGGTGACAAGGCCACCGATACGGGAGCTCCTATCACTGTCCCTGTTGGTCCTGCCACCCTAGGTCGGATTATCAACGTTACTGGCGACCCCATTGATGAACGCGGCCCTATCAAGACTGACAAGTTCCTGCCTATTCACTGCGATCCTCCCGAATTTGTTTCTCAATCAACTACCGCCGAGGTACTAGTTACTGGTATTAAGGTTGTTGACTTGCTCGCTCCTTATGCTCGCGGTGGGAAAATTGGCTTATTTGGTGGTGCTGGCGTTGGTAAAACTGTCTTTATCCAAGAGCTGATCAATAACATTGCTAAAGCTCACGGTGGTTACTCGGTTTTTACGGGTGTCGGTGAACGCACCCGCGAGGGTAATGATTTATACCATGAAATGCAAGAGACTTCTGTTATCCAACTTGACGGAGATTCTAAGGTGGCCCTGGTATTTGGTCAGATGAACGAGCCCCCTGGTGCCCGTGCAAGAGTTGCCCTTACGGGTTTGACGATTGCCGAGTATTTTCGTGACCATGAAGGCCAGGATGGTAAGTTTGTTCGCAAGAAAAACTACATGTTGTCGTCTTCTAACCTACTGTGCAGTGTTGCTTTTTATTGACAATATCTTCCGGTTTACTCAGGCCGGTGCCGAGGTTTCTGCCCTCCTAGGCCGCATTCCCTCTGCTGTTGGTTATCAGCCCACTCTTGCCGTTGATATGGGTGTAATGCAGGAACGCATCACCACAACCGACAAGGGCTCGATTACGTCTGTTCAGGCTGTTTATGTTCCTGCTGATGACCTAACTGACCCTGCCCCTGCTACCACCTTTGCTCACCTGGATGCCACTACTGTTTTATCGCGTGGCATTTCAGAAATTGGCATTTACCCTGCTGTTGATCCTCTTGCCTCTACGTCTCGTATGCTTGATCCTCGCATTGTTGGCCAAGAACATTATGATACTGCTACCCGCGTGCAGCAAATCCTGCAAGAGTATAAGTCACTTAAGGACATTATTGCAATTCTTGGTATGGATGAATTATCTGAGGCTGATAAGCTTACTGTTGAGCGTGCTCGTAAAGTCGAGCGGTTTTTGAGTCAGCCGTTTACCGTTGCCCAAGTTTTTACTGGCATTGAGGGTCAACTAGTCGATTTAAAAGATACTATTCGTTCTTTTAAGGCTGTCTTGGATGGCGAGGGTGATAGTCTTCCCGAGGCCGCATTTTATATGGTTGGCAACCTGGATTCTGCCAAGGCCAAGGGTGCGAAAATCCTGGCAGATTTGGCTAAGAACTAGGTTGCCTAACTACTACTATCACTTGATAGTACGTACGTATATGTACGATAGAGTTGTATCGCTAGCGACAAGGTGATGCGTGGTAGACGAGCTATACCGGAAAAAGAGAGCGTCTATTATCGTCTATGACCTGCTTGACTTCCCCAAACTTTTTATATGCCGACGCTTCGTCTGTCCAGTCAATATAGCTACCTGTTCATAGAAGACGGAAGAATGCTATCGAGTCATATTTCCTCCAATCAATTTCCACTTGCACGGCCCGGCCCGTGCGACCCGCTCGCACTAGACCCACTCTAACACTTGACTTTACTATATTTAGTAATGGCGTCGCATTACTGCACTACGCAATTTACTCAGTCAATTAGGGATGCATTACTCTTGCAATTGTTATGACTAACTTGAGACAAAACTTCTCGTTGACTGTTACCTATGGTATGTATTTTATAGTCTAGCTCTGCCACGTTTTGTGACCTATTTCCTTTAAACTGGGCAGTCAAGCGTCATGTTCCGGCGCGAGTACAACCATCTTGTCCCATCCGCGACTTTCTTTTGCCGCCGCAAGCGCTGCTTCATACTGCTGAAGCGCAAAGGGTCCCTGGACCTTTTTTCGCAGCTTCAGGGTTCCTGACTCAATGAGACGGATCACTTGCGCCACATCTCTGTGCCCCTGTGCAAATTGGCCGCGGATAGTGATGCAGTTGACCATGATGGGGCCATAGGGCAACGCAACATCTTGGATGACTACGCCAGCAAAGCAGCATCGTCCATATCGCTTGAGAGCCATGATGCCAGCCGAGACATGCGATCCATCGGCCATCGGTGGAGCGTAGTCAATGTACGCATCAGCACCTTTACCGCCTGGTGTTGCCGCCTTCAGAGCCTCCGTGTCTTGCGTCGCATCTCCGGTTAGTACAACCTTTTTTATCCTTCCGTCTATTTCCCCCTCAAAGTGGCTCACCAGCCTATCGAGCGATTCTTGGGAACGACTACCCACCACAACATTCGCCCCCAGAGCGAGTACCACGGGTATCACACTCGAGCTGAAGAATCCCGTGGCGGGTAGTAGAAGAACAGTTTCGCCGGGACAGACGGAAATGGAGTTTGCAGCGCCAAGAGCTGGCATGAGACTGGCTATTTCGGCTAATTCGAATGGTGAAGCAGTGACAGAACTGGAGATAGGGTGGACATTCTCTGCGGGGAATTTCGCCCATTGTGCGTAACAGCCATTTCGCCAGTAATCGTTTGACATGGCTTGCTCAAGAGGTGTGAAGCCGCCGTGATATCCTGCAGTTTTATGAGCATTTCAACCCTTGGCTTGCCGAGGAAATGGAGTGGCCGTTGTTGGTGGAGAGATTTACCCTGTACGACTCGTTCGTCATTCAACCGAATCACATAGTCACAGAAAACCAGTTGCCCCGGAGTGAAACATTTGACATCTGGCCCAAACTCTTCCACGCGGGCGACGCAAGCCGTCCCGAAAATGAGGGGATAAGGCAGATGGTATCTTCGTTGTCCGCTAAGGATGTCAGGCTAACATAAAGGGACCAATCCAATTAGCATGCGATACCAAGGACTGAGTTCGATCAATGGGTAAGCTTCTCACAACATAATCCCACATTGGTGCGGCAAGCACTTTCACTATAACTGAGCCGGGGGCTGCACTTGGTTTAGGAACCGTCTCAAGACTGAGTTTCCCCGGCTCATGGAGCACAAGCGCATTCATGGATGCCATTTTGAGACGGTTGGTTGTGTTGGTCAGTTTAACGAAATATATTTCGAAATAGATCTTCTTCTAGCCCTTTACTATTCAGCGGGACGCTATGTTCTTAAATACCCGGCTTTGGTTTCCATCCGATGTGACAGTTATCCCGATCAGACAATACCGCGGCAGAGCAAGTTTGATCATCACCCATGACATTCGCAATGTATTAACGTTTCAAAAAAGACTTATCATGCTGAAGCCATTCATTATTACCCGTCACATAGTGGCCTTCTCGGGATAGTATCGAGCAGGCGTACTGTACTGCAGGATGTATATATGCTGTCTGGTGCTTCTACATGTTTCTGCCACTAAACTGACTGTGTTTTCGGGTACAACCCCACTCTGTTACACAACATTGTACACACGATAGGCTCACGAGCTTTGTGAAAGTGCATACTTGACAGGTATGGGGCCTGCATCCAAACGACTGCGCTTAGCTATTCCTACAGTGATGCCTTTTTTGTCAGTACCTACATCATATTTCTGGCAGATTTTGAGGTCCGGCCTCGGGTGTCGGTACGTTCGGCATTTGATTGAGTTTTTTCAATGAACTAATTCACCGACTAGACAACGTGCAAGTTTGGTGGGTCCCAGCCAATTTCAGATTGGCGGCGAGCGCTAGGGCTACCGACCTGGTGCCTCTAATTCCTACTACCTGGTGGGCAAAAGCGTATTGCATTTTAACTAGTCGTATCCGCTTCTTTTTTTTCTTTAAGATTTTTTTCTCTTTTTTAATAAAACTAGTAATACGTCTTATCTTTTCTGTTATTTTGTAGGGACGTTGTGGCTTGGTTCTAGAAAGCAACTTTGTACCAGCTTTAATATTCTGTAAGACTACCAAGACTACCAGACCCGCTAGTAGTTGCAAGAACTATACCAACAAATAATTCTAATTTATAAGAACGTGTATAGCAAAGCGTTCTATAATAAAAGCATAAATAATTTTGTTACCGGGAATTATTGTGGATAAAGGAAATAACCTGCAGTCTTGGGAGTATAATAGAGGAGATTATATACAAGACAGCATGTATTAATAAATATGGTAATTTGCAGTCGCGGCTACTCTCTTATGACTCGAAAGTCAGTCAAAAGTCAAGTATCAAGCAAGATGTGACGTGATTTGGGAACCCTAGGTTCGCGCACATGTGCACAAAGATTCCACGAGTAAAGGGGCGCAGAATAAATCACGTTTATGCGCTATAGTTCGCTTATATATAATACAAGTAATCCGCCTGCATGGTTGTTGCAGCCAGGAGTATGTGGATAAAACGAGCAAATACCGGCCCCCGACGGTGCCGAACCGAGAGTAGTTCACGCCACAAAGGCCGTTTAAGGTTATGGCTGTGCCAGGATATCACGAAATAGAGTTTACGTACAGCAGATAAGTGGAAAATACAATTAACCGAGACACCAGTTGACCTTTGCATAGGCTGCGGAGTAGTACTTGGCGTAATCAAGCCAAGCCTAACTGACTCGCGACCTACATGTAAGCTGATGTAACGCCATCCTGACCTGACCGGCAAGGCCCATTATTTGTCCGAAACCCTGTACCTATTTCTCAGCTAACGCGAGAGAAGACGTTTACGTAACGGCCCCTGTAGAGCGGTCCATTTACATGATGCACTGCCTGTTTGACAGGAGGCGGGGTAGGAACCCGTGGCTAATGGACTTTGCCGGCCGATACAGTGAAGATGAACCACATGCCGAGGCACTTGGCGGCATATCTCCGAATCACCGCAAGCGGCAAATGCGCATTGCGAAGCCTGGCAGATGCAGTTTAGCGGCGGCTTATACCGCGCCCTGTCCGCACGTCTCGTATTTATGTCTGCGTAAGCCATCCAGGTGCGTAGGCTATGCAGGTGTCAAAACATCAACTGGGAGTCAAGTTTAGTTTAATGCCCATCTCGTATGTACATTCAAAGAGAGATGGAGAACTTATAGAGTTCTCGTGTCCGTTTGTTTGAGTCCTCAGTACAGCCCTTGTACGCTTTATCAGTTCCCCGGCAGCCTGAATAGGGTGTGCTCTCGACAACATAAATAACGTAGATAATAGCTGGCTTGGTATTTGCTAAAAATTTCTGCAGCAAGAAACCTCTAATAGCTTTTATACCTACAATCCAACCCTTGTATAATTAACTACCCGTGACCTCACAAGGGGAATATAGCTAATAGAGAGTTAAAAAGTAAGAAAAATAAATTTTTAAATTTTTTTTTTAAAAAAAAAAAGCTTATATATTTTTATTAATTCTTACTATACTACTTAACAGCTACCTATAATTAATAGCTAGAGCGCCGATACAGCCAGGAGGCCTTGCTCTATTAACCTTGTCAGGTCACGGGTGGTTAATTATACAAGGGTTGGATTGTAGTCTTACGACCCAGTTATATGCAGGACACAAGCTGTAAGTTAAGCTAGCTATATAAGTTATAATTTTCTAACTTTAATAATTTTATTATAACTTATAATTCATTATTAATATAATACTTAATTATTCAAATAAATTATCTTAATAACTTTATTAATATAAATTATAATTAGTTTATCCCTTAAAAACCTTAGCTGTTACCCTAGTAGCCTAGAGAGTCGTATATTACGACCCAGATTACAAGTTGCAGCCGAGACCGCAGGATAGGCCAGCTATATTAGCCACTTTGCGACGGCAGGTATTAGCGGAGAAACCTCGGGGAAAGAGATCCTGTGCAATACAACCCCTGAATTATTGTTAAAGAGACACTTAGCGCTGCGTTCTCCAGTATTGTGTACCGCTTAAATAGCTATTATATTGTTGTTTTTTAAAAACTAATAAGTACTATAAAGTAAATATATTTGCTATTAATTATACTTAAAAATATTTATAGTAATATAAAAAGCCTTATAAAACTAATAATTATAAGCTTAGTTTATTATATATCAAATAAATAAAAGTAACTTACTTTAAGTAACAGTACAATTAGAATAAAAATATTTAGTTTTTTACTTTAATTTTTAAACAATATAAATAATTTTAATACATACTTCTTATAGTATTTTACGCGGTCTAGTATAATATATATTTAGTCTACTTAAAATATACTTTAACTTTAAATTATAATACTTATATATACGTTCTTGCTTATATAACTATTAGAATTCCTTTTTTATTAAAAAAACAAAGCGAATAATTACTTTTATATATTTTACTTGGTAAATAATTACCTGGTAACTAAATGTATATACTTCAAGGTATTAGTATATACCTACCCTAAGTCAATTTGTTGAGAAAACTCAACGAATTACTATGCAAACAGTCCAAAACGTCTGGCACACTGGCTATCTGCTTGGGTTGAGGAAATTTGAATAACTAAACATCATGGATTGACACGCATACGCTTACAAGCCCGGCAGGGTTTCCCAAAGGCGTTAAACTATTCAATTGAACAATCGATTACTGTACAGGACTATGAATTTGTGGTCTAGTCGTACGGAACGTTTTCTCATATTTGTCTCTATCAATAAAAGAGAGGGGTCGATTCTAATCCACAAGTACACAGTCATATCCTATTAGCAAGATTCGCTTGACAAACTCTAATACATAAGAAAAACTTTGCAAGGTCGCCTAGAGTGTGGAATTCTTAGACTGCTTGTTGTTTTTAAAATCTTCTATTGCTTTCCTCTTTGTCTTCTTCACTTTCCTCCTTTTACCCTGTTCAACGTTACTGAACTTTAGTTTTAAGCGGCCTCCCATACCCTATTCTTCTACATACCGGACGCAAACTACCATCATGGAATCCAAAGACAACTACTACAATCCCCTCGTTTTATGGGTATACGATTTCTTTGTACAAGTTCTCACAAACACCTTTTGGTGGCGCTGCTCCACCAAATCCGTACTTGTTCCCTTCTTCGTCGACAATGCTAGTCCCAATCATATGGAAGTGGGAGCTGGAACGGGCTACTACCTTCGTGCAAAGCTCGATCATGAAAAAAGGCATATAAAGCTCGGCGACAACACAACTACATGGCCTCAGAAACTGACACTTGTCGATTTCCATACACAATGTATGGAAAAAGCTGTGAACCGCATTGAGGCAGATTGCCCCGTTAAGCCTGAGTGCGTGCTTGCCAATATTATGGAACCTATTCCTCTCAAGGCGCAGAAATTCGACTCCATCTCCCTCATGTACGTCCTGCACTGCATTCCCGTCTCTCCGGCGGCCAAAGGTCGGGTTTTTGCAAACTTGAAGCCGTTTCTCCATGACGATGGGACGCTCTTTGGTTGCACGGTTTTGGGTAAGGGAGTAAAGCACAACCTTATTGGCAGCTTTTTGATGTGGTTGTATAACTACATTGGCATGTTCGGAAACTGGCAAGATTCCAAGGAAGATTTTTTGGCATCGTTAAGAGAGAACTTCGAGATTGTTGAGAGTGAAGTTGTTGGGGTTTCGCTGCTTTTTAAGGCGCAAAGGCCAAGACGCTAATGCGGAATGCTGTTTGGGGCGAGGCGTAGGAGGTTTATAAAGTAGAGCTATGACAAAAATACATCTTTTACTCGCTTGGATATACGGGATTTAACTTCTTATATATGCAAGTTATAGGTAGACAGAGTGCGTCGTCCGCGCCTTCAAACATACAATGCAGCAAAATAGCAGACTATTATCACTGCCGTGTCTCTCCCCTTTTCTTTTATGCATGTGTGATAGCTTTGAAAGAAATCGATAAAGACCTCGCAAGTATTTGCACTATATTGCTATATATAGCCCAAATAATTACTTTATTCCCCTTATAATTCATAGTTTTAGACTAAGGCATAAACTTGTTTTGAGACAAGGAAGTATAACTTATAAGTTTATAATATTTAAAATATATAGAAATTAACTTGAAACAATTATTATTTTTAAATAGCTTATTATTGGACAGTAAATACTAATTATATAACTGCCTCTTTCGTCAATTATAATCTCTGTTGAGTATTCTTGCATCAGAACTATTTACTGCTAAATTGCCTACAATAAATAAACTGAGGGGAATATGTGAGTTTGCTTTTCTTTCCCACATAAAAAGTGTGATAAAATTAACAGAAAAAATCTGCCAATTTTTTTCACAATGCACAATCTCTAAATCGTCGTTATTGCCAAGTCTAATCGCCGGCAATGCGAAGCGACTGGGTAGGCGTTTGGATTACAGAGCAAAATCGAGTTATGCTCACGGTTTGCAATGTTCAAAGCAGCCGACCCCTGCAAATTCCATAAAACAGTATGCTGGCCAAGGAATAAAATACGAAATCCCCAGTTATTTGAAATCGAGGTATTCATAGACAATCAGGCAATTTCTGAAGAAGTAACCTATAGGTCACCTAGAACACACAGAACAGAGTAGAATGTTAAACCTTTTTGGCATGTAGTGATTAAGCATACATATGCACCCAGAATACTATTTAGAAGTATGCAAGAAACTGGTCAAACTTTGGCGATCTTGACTAAAGAATGGACTGATCTTGCAGGGGGGCAAAAGGCGCAAGCGGTACCTTGTGGAGTACATTATGCTCGCGTCTAAACTTACCATGTATCCTACAACCTGATTTATTGAGAAAACTCAATGAAATATGATACTAGTGGAAAGATAGACTGTCCCGTTTCAACCGCTGTTTGAGTGACTGTGTTCTGTGTTGACTACGTCTTCTGGCATTGGGCACGCAAGCACTTCGCCAGTAGCGGATTGGGAAAGCCACGCCAATTATGCTCACTCTGTCGGTATCGAGGCTATGGATATAAATGACCCTCTTTACTTGGAAAACTCATGGTCGTCGCATCTTAAATACTCTTCAGATTATCCCGCGTCCCTGCGTTTTCAATCTCCGACTCGACAATTCCTCCGTACGCACATTTCAACACTTGGTCTTGTATCTTTAACAAATACATAAACTGAAAAACCGACACCGCGACACCATGACGCCAGAGCCAATCGCTATTGTTGGGTCGGGCTGCAAATTCCCTGGATCTTCTTCATCGCCGTCACGTCTCTGGGAGCTTATCAGCAAGCCAAAGAATGTCGCCACCAAGCCACCACCGGACCGTTTCAACATGGATGGTTTCTACGATCCAAATCCAGCAAATCCATTGACCACAAACGCCAAAGAATCATACTTTATTTCCGAAAATATAAGGGCATTCGACGCGTCTTTCTTCAATATTGCGGCAAATGAGGCGACCAGCCTGGACCCCCAGCAACGGTTGCTACTGGAAACTGTTTATGAGTCTCTGGAAGCTGCTGGCCTGCGAATGGAAGCCCTTCGAGGTTCATCCACCGGTGTGTTTTGCGGAGTCATGTGTGCAGACTGGGAAGCCGTCGTGGGATTGGACAAGGCTGTGCCAGAATATGTGAGTAAACTGGTCCAAATGGCGAGATCCTCGAGAGCATCTCCGAAATTGAATCATGAGTTCAGCATCAAACTCGTTGAGCAATGATGCTCTGGGCCATCTTGCTGTCGTTGAGTGATGCTGATCCCAATATCTTCGAATTTAGGCCATTTCCGGCCTTGCACGCAACAACCTGGCCAACCGCATCTCCTACTTTTTTGATTGGAACGGTCCCTCCATGTCCATTGACACGGCTTGTTCTTCAAGTATGGTGGCTCTGCATCAGGGCGTCTGTGCTCTACAGAACGGTGAATGCGCAACCGTTGCCGTCATAGGAACGAATCTAATCTTGTCTCCCAACCTGTACTTTGCGGCGTCGAATGTCAAGATGCTGTCACCGGAGAGCCGTGGTTACATGTGGGATCACAGGGCAAATGGTTACGTACGAGGAGAAGGAATAGCCTCCTTGATCCTCAAGCGGCTAAGTGATGCCGTGGCCGACGGCGACCCGATAGAATGTGTAATCAGAGCCTCGGGTGTGAATCAGGTATGCTCTGCGCTCTTCTGCTGCAACGCTTGAATCAATCACCATTTTGATTCCAGCTTTCTGACGATACATCGCTGTAGGATGGGAGGACACTGGGCTTGACCATGCCTTCGGGCAAAGCGCAGGCGCAGTTGATTCGGTCAACTTATGCCCTTGCAGGACTTGACCCAACTCGTCCGGAAGATCGACCACAATATTTCGAAGCTCATGGCAGTAAGTGGCCAACATGCCCTCTTCACTTTGGCCTCTGTCGAGTCATGTCTAACCATAGACGGTAGCGGGCACACAAGCCGGAGATTACCAGGAGGCTACTGGTATCTACAGCACCTTTTTTGGAGCGAGTCCAAAAACATCCACGGACGATGTGTTGCATGTGGGATCCATCAAGACGGTCATCGGTCGTAAGTATTGCCTATTTCTCAGCCCGACGCGAGCTTGAAGGCTTCGTATTGTGTGAAGATGTGCTGATGTCAAGTTGCAAACACCAAGACGGCGAGGGGTGCGCCGGTTTGGCTGGTATAATCAAGGCATCCTTGTCCATACAGCATGGCACGATCCCCCCCAATCTTCATTTTGAACGATTGAACCCCAAGCTGGAGCCTTATTCATCATGTCTCAAGGTTCCGACTGAACCTGTGCCCTGGCCACAGCTACCGCCTGGGGTCCCGCGTCGCGTTTCAGTCAACTCTTTGTAAGTTTACACACGGCCAGGTGCCAATGTTTAGGAAACAGACTGAATCTGACCCTCAAAATGTAGTGGATTTGGTGGCACGAACTCGCATGCTATCCTGGAGAGTTACGAGCCAAATTTGCACCGGAACCCAAAAAGCCACCTGAATGGGACGAGCAAACACCTACCTTCCTTGCTGCCGTTCGTCTTTTCGGCTGCTTCAGAACGGAGCCTCGGGGCTGTTCTCGAGAAGTATGCCAGGTACCTCAAGGACAACCCTACCGTCAAGGCTGCAGACTTCGCCTGGTCGTTGATTGAAAAGCGTTCGGCGCTCAAGTACCGACTGACGTTATATGCGCCTACTATCGAGGAGCTACAGACCGAGATCGACAAAGAAATGGCACTTCGGAAGGCTGATAACCCATCCACGGTCATATCGCGTCCTGATACCGGGAAGAAGAGTATTCTCGGCATCTTTACAGGCCAAGGTGCACAGTGGCCGCAAATGGGACTGGATCTGCTCTCGACGTTCCCAGTCACCCGAGGCTGGTTTGAGGAGCTGCAAGAATCGCTAGATCAGCTACCTGAAGAGTACCAGCCAGACTTCTCCTTGTTTGAAGAGCTGGCTGCCCCGAAGTCATCGTCTCGAATTCAGGAGGCGGCTGTCGCACAGCCTCTTTGCACTGCCGTCCAGATTGTGCTGACCAGGCTCCTCGCTACCCTTGGGATTTCTTTTGATACAGTCGTGGGCCATTCCTCAGGCGAAGTTGCTGCTGCGTATGCCGCCGGCGTTCTGAACGCCCATGATGCGATTCGGATTGCATATCTCCGAGGGAGGGTAAGTTGATAAGCTTCTACCATGCTCGGTTGCTGCCAAGGTTTTCACAATACTGACGCTACCATGTAGGTCGCCCATCTTGCCGGTGCTAATAACCGAGCCGGTAGTATGTTGGCTGCGGGCCTGTCTGTGCAGGAAGCAACGGACTTTTGCGAGAAGCCCGAGTTTGCCGGACGCATCAGCATCGCGGCGTGCAATTCCCCATCCAGTGTCACCCTTTCGGGCGACGCAGATGCTATTGAAGAGGCTGACCTGCTGCTGAAAAGCCAGGACAAGTTTGCCCGTCGGTTGCTGGTAGATACGGCATATCATTCGCACCACATGCAGCCCTGCTCGGACCCGTATCTTCGTGCCATGACAGGATGTAAGATTCAACTGGGACAACCAACTGCCACGACCTGGTTCTCGACTGTGCACGCGGGCAAAACCATCAACGCTTCAAGCCATGGCGCTGCTCTGGTGGCAGAGTATTGGAAGGACAACATGCGCAACCCTGTCCTTTTCTATCAAGCCCTGATGGCAGCCATCGCGGCCTCTCCACCCGGTCTGATCATCGAAGTCGGACCACATCCTGCCCTCAAGGGACCGGCTCTGCAGAGTCTCTCCGAAGTCTCCCAATCAGCCTCGTCAACCCCCTACATTGGCACCCTGAGTCGTGGTTCAACCGGAGTGCAGGCGCTTGCCGTTACCATTGGCTCTCTCTGGGCGCAGCTTGGAGCGGAGGGGGTCAACGTTGACCAATACATGTCCCTGTACGACCAATCTAGGAAGCTGCAATTCGTCCAAGATTTGCCCTCTTACCCCTTTGATCACAGCCAGTCATACTGGACCGAGACGCGAAGATCCAAAGCCTACCTTGGCCGAGGCCGGCGCCATGAGCTTCTCGGGGATCTGAGCGAAGAAGTCACTGAGGGAGAATGGCGGTGGCGCAACTTTTTGTTCCAGAGAAATCTTGAATATCTCGAAGGGCATCAGATCCAATCCCAGACAATATTCCCCGCAACTGGATATGTGGCCATGGCATTAGAAGCCGCCGCACTCATGGCAGAGGGACGAACCATGCGTCT